TCCAAAACTTTCCCGACACCGTGCTTCGCAAGACGAAAAACATCGCAAGACGACAAAACTCGCGGAACGAATTAACTTCGTCTTGCGAGGCACCACTGTACGAAGAGTCTCACTGTTGAATCAGCCCTACAGCCCATGTAGACTGGCATCCTATACTCAAAGTGGCCAATCAGATGCCTCTGGGGAGCCTGAAAGCAGGACCCAAGCACAAAAGCTCTCCACCCCCCACCCCTTATGCTTTCCAGACCCTGGTGTGCAGAAGCAATCACTGCCTCCAACCTGGTTGGATTCAACCCTCAGTTTTAAAAGTTCTCAGGAATAACAAGGCTTAAGGTAATATGCAACTCTATGAAATAACGGGGGAAATTACAAATGAATTTTTATTCTGTTGGAAGTATACACCTGTAAGAAATTTAATAGCCAACAAATGTATACAGGCAACTGCCCATTTGTGCAGGGGTTATGTTCCGAGGCACCACATGCATAAATGAAATCACATATATTGGGAACACCATGGAAACCGCCTGCAGACACCCTCTAAACCTCTGGAAACCCTTGGAAAACTCTTTTAACAGCTCCACCAAACTCCACCACAATTGCTCCCTCCAAACCTCCTAGCTCAAACTCCAGCTCTACACAGGCCTAAAAAAGTCAGTGCAAAAGCTCCTGGGATTGCACTTGCAAAGGCTCGGGGGGGGGGAGCGTTGCTAAATGCTATTTTTGCACCATTTTTGCTGTTTCCACAATCTTCTCGGGCCATTTTTGCTCCTTTTCATGCCACGTCCAGGTTTGTAGCAATATGCAAGGTTGCACGTGCCTCAAACACATGTAAATGGGGAGTTGCCTGTACTTAAATATTTAAATATAATTAATAGGTTTGGGGGGGTTAGTTTTTGGGTTTTTTAGAATGATCTTTATTTAGCAAATTAGTGATACTAGCAAAGCCAGCCTGGTATATATGCTTGTTTAAGCTACTTCTAGGATGATCCCTGTTTGTTAACTAGAGCTGCAATCTCTATACGCGCTTACCTAGGTGTGAGTCCTGCTAGCTCAAGGAAACATAATCCTGAGCTGACATGCTTGGGATTTGCACTGTAAATCCTTATTTATGTGGGGCTGAGAGCAGGACCTGGGCGCAGCAAGGACTCTCCCCTCCTGCAGTTTCTAGCAAATGATATTCAGAAGCATTGCTTTCTCCAAAAGTGGAGACAATAGGTATCTTTTGACTGAACCCAGGCTTCTTTCAGAGGTGGGATCAGGAAGGAGGGCAAGGTGCCTGAAACTGATGAATTCAACCACCCCCAGGTTTCCTGCAGTCTCTCTCTCTCTCTCTCTCCTTCCCCCTAAAGGGACAGAGCCTGAGAATATGAAGTTCAGCCAACTCCAAGGACACCAGAACTGGAGTGAGCCAAGGCAGAGGCAAGCACTTGCCCTCCAATTCCTATGCAACAGAGGAGATTAGGGATATGGGGCGGAAGATTTTCCACAGGGGATGGGGGAGGATTCTGAAATCCAAAATGTTCCGTTCTTCTATTTTTCCATGCAAAACGTTCCCCCCCCCCCCAATTTCATAAGTCCAGTGAGGAAAGATTGCAGCTTTTGGAACTTTCTGATTTAGAGAAAAGGCAAGTAACATGGTAGAAATGTTTAAAATTACGCATGGCATGGAGAAAGTGGATAGAGAAAAGTCTTTTCTGCCTCTTTCAAAGCACTAGAACATGTGGACATCCAATGCAGCTGGAAGATTCAGTACAGATTTTAAAAAAGGACTTTCTTCATGCAGCGCATAGTTAACCTATGGAACTCATTCCCACAGGAGGCAGGGATGACTACCAACCTGGGTGGCTTTAAAAGAAGATTAGACAAATTAATGGAGAATAAGGCTAACAATGGCTACTAACCGTGATGGCTAGGCTCTGCCTTCCTAAGTCAGAAGCAGTAATGCTTCTGAGTACTAACTGTTGGGAACTACGGGAGGGGAGAATGCTCTTCACCATGGGTCCTGTTTGTGGGTTTCTCACAAGCATCTGGTTGGCCACTGTGAGAACAGAATACCAGACCAGATGGGCCACCAGCCTGATCCAGAAGGCTCTTCTTATGCTCTTGCATAAGACAGTAACAATTAATGGACACCAGCTACAACCAGGGTATTTGGCAAGCTTAGCAGTTTCAATCTGTTCTGGGTTTGCTTACCAAAAACAAGCAAACAGACTACGCTCAATCACTTCTCTAAGCCTTAAGAGTCTTCACCAACCTGTTTCCTTCAAAATATTTTGGACAGCATTGTGGACTACACATGCTGAAGCTGATAGGAATTATAGTCCAAAACATCTGGAGAATGCTATGTTGGCTCTGAAGCGATGCTCTTCAGCCTTGGGTCCCCAGATGTTCAACTACAACTCCCATTATCCCTATCACTGGTTAAATTACTTGGGGATGATGGAGCCTGTTGTCCAGCTTCTGGGGACCCAAAGTTTGAAGAACACTGGTCTAGAGAACCAGCAAATCACCCTCTCAAAATATCCTGATTTGCACAGGACAATCTCCTAGTTCAACTTTTTTCTAGAAAGCAGTTAAGGCACTAATGGCCAAACTTGACCCTCCAGCTGTTTTGGGACTACAACTCCCACCCATCCTAGCTAACAGGACCAGTGGTCAGGGATGATGGGAATTGTAGGCCCAAAACAGCTGGAGGGCCAAGTTTGGCTGTCACTGAGTTAAGGGGATGAGATTTCTTGCAGACCCCCCTCTCACTAGGCTAGTCCAAGCCAGGTCACTGTTTTCTTCCCTACACCCACAAACAACAGTCTACTCAGAGTAAAGCCACTGAAATTGATGAACCTAATTTAATCATGTCTGTTAACTTCAATGGGTGTACTCTGAGTAGGACTAGCATGGAACATAATACCATGTGCCCAAATTCAGGCATTACAACAAGTCAGATGCCAGCTAGTTTTCCAGTAGCTCAGCAGCAGTGGAAGAGGAACCATGTGAGAACTTTTGATCCTTCACATTAAACCGTAATTTGTCTTTAACTGTGGTAATTGGGAATCTCAGGCTCAGGGGCCCTATAGGCCCCTGGATTCCCCCAGGAGGGATCCTTTAACAGCTGACAAGATTGGTGGGAGGGGAGGAAGAACCCAGTTAGAGAAAGAAAACTTTGTTGCAGCTTGAAGGCAAACCCATTTATTATGACATGAGTCACTGTCTCTCAGCCTAACCAACCTCACAGGGTTGTTTGTGAGGATAACTGGGGAGGACGAAAACTATGTACACCACCTTGAGCTCCTTGAGGGAAAAGGTGGCATTTAAAATGTAATAAATAAATAAGCCAGAATCAAGCAATTTGATACCTCCCCAGATGTTGTAAATTTCTACTGCCATTAGCTGCAGCCTGCCTGGCCAATGGTAAGGGATGATGGGAGTTGTAGTCCAGCAACATCTGCAAGGCTGGAGGTTGCTCACCCCTGTTCCTAAATGGGTGAAAGGCTTTATACTGCCATGCATGCCGAGAAGGAATCGCTTTTACCAGCGGACTTCCTGCCCGGCCTTCAAAAAACCAGAGAACAGGCACTACACACAAAAATTAGCAGATTGTGAGCTCACACAGTGCATATTATGTCATCACACACCAAGATTTGTGTAGAAAATGAGCAACTATGCATACAGAGGAGACATCTACTTAACAAATGGCAATAACAGTAATGAAAATAAGAATGGGAAACCTTTTTCAGCCCAAGGGCCACATTCTCTTCTGTGAAACATTCTGAGGGCCACATGTCAGGGCTTGGCAGAGCAAGAGGCAAAAGTGGACGGAACAACAAATGTAAATTCTACCTCTGTGCCGTGGGATAGTTTCTACACACAAACACCCTTCTCCAGCCCCCATCCAGGCAGCCAAGAGGCACTATCAGAGCTCAAGGACACATTCCAGCCAGGCCAAAACACTCAGGGTGTGACACAGAGACAGTGGGGCTCAGGAGAGAGGCAAAGTTCCAAGAACTTGACAGAGATGTCTGGTAGGCTACAGTTGGCCTCTAGGGATGAGGTTCCCCACCTTTGATGTAAAAAGAGCCACAATGCATCAGATTGAGGCTCCCCCTGGTATAGCATCAGGCTGCTCATGGTAGCTAAGCAAACGGCCCGCTGGGAAGCCCACAAAGAGGGCTTGAAGCTAAGGATGGTTGCTGGCATACATCTGTCTCAAGAGCCAATATAGTGTGCCTCCAGGGGCTAAGTCGAATCTCTGTGTTAGCTGCACTGAAGTGACCTCCCCTGGGTGCAAGCCTGGGCAGTGTGTATGGAGGTCCTGGACTACCCTAATGCCCTTTTGGCCTCACTGATGTGATTCAGAGGAAAGCAGAGCAATATGTTTGGCACCAGCTTGGCTGCAGCAGTTGCCAGGAGGCGCACAAGGCACTACCCAACCATCTTAGGGACTCCACTGCGGATTTGTGTAGGGTTTACTTCTTAGCCCTTTCTTCTCCCAAAGATATCTTGCATAGCAGTGGAGACTTAGGATCAGCGATTTCCTTCTCCTAGATGGACTACCATCCCAGGTTGACAAGGCCTTTCTGTCCCTATTAAAGCTACAATTTCCATCCCTCTGCCTGTCCACCAGCAACTGGAATTCAGAGGTGGGTCATCTCTGAACACTGGTGGTTGGTTTCATTTATTCCCTTTATAAACATCTTACTATACTACCTGTAAGTTCTTGCAGCAGCTTACAACAGATTGATTCCTGGCAGCTATCATGGATATGACATTATAGTTCACAAACAGCCCATGTGCTGCTTTCTGAAAGATGATGATCAACTACTTCCATCACTCCCAGCTGGCACGGCCAATGCTCAGGCATGATGGGAGTTGTAGTCAACACAGAACAGTAAAAACATAGGCATCTGCCTTATGCCAAGGCAGAGCACTGGTCTATCTAACTCCGCATTGTCTACACATCGACTGGAAGCAGCTCTCCAGGGTTTCAGGCACAGATCTCTCCCAGTCCTACCTGGGGACTGAACCTAGGATCTTCAACACTGAAGGCAGATGCTCTACCGCTGACCTACGGGCCTTCTGCCAAAATTAGTCCAGCAACATCTGGATGGCACCATGTTGGCTACTGCCGGCATGTCCTGTTTCAGCCTTCTCCAACCAGGTGTCCTCCAAAAGCAGCTGGACTCCCAACATCATCCCTGACCACTGTGCCTGTTGGCTGGGAGGCTGATGGGAACTGGAATCGAGGAACACCTAGAAGGCCACAGCTTACTCAATCCCTCTTCTAAGACGGCAATGCCAGGGATCGAACATGGAATCCTTGCCATGCAACAGGTGTGCTCTGTCACTGAGCTCTCTCAAGAGGTGTGCAACAAGCGGGTTTTGCATACCTGTCTGGCGGGAGGCTGAAGAGGAATTATGGAGATAGCCAAATGCAGACAGAAATGGCAGAGAGGAACCCCCTCCCAAAATACAGCCCCTCTTAATATTATTTTACATATGCAAGGAAAAGATTACAAGGCCAACCTGTTTTCCTTGCTCCATGTGTGTAGGAGGCATGCAGGGATTATAAATGAGTTTCCCCAGAGCTGGGAGGGGCCCAGAGAAAACGTAAGCTCCCCACCATTTTTGCCTATCCTAAGGGGGGGGGCAGAGTCTAGACTAAGCAATGCCCCCTTCCTTCTTCACACATTATGGAGCAACAGATACCTACCTACTTCCTCTTCAGGAAGGCCACAGAATCACAACATGGGATTTCTCTCCCATTGCTTTTGAATTTTTTTTTTTGGGGGGGGGGAGAAGCCAATACTTCTTTACTTTACTCTGACCCTAATTAGGTGTAAAGAGCACACACCTCCTTCCCCACTTACACCCCCAAAGTCCACTTCTGATTTCTTCACCACCACCAGTTTAGAAAAGTGGCACACAAGATCAAGCAGAAGGAGGGGAACTGACCTCCCTTCACCTCCTCCCTCCATTATGGGTCAAAGGGCACTCATCCCAACACAGATTCCCCCCACCCTTTTTGGAAAGGGGAAAACAAAAGGTCAAATGGGGAGAAAATGAGGCAACTGTCCCCTTCCATCCACTTCCTTGCCCCTTCCCTGTCAGGGTTGAGGGGCATCCACCCCTATGGAGGACAGATGAGCCCACTAGGAATTACCCCCCTACCCTTAAAAATAAACAGATTGGAAGAGGCAATGCTCAAGCAGATGAAGAAGGGGGCAACTGGCATTCCCCCCCCCCCCCCGCAATTCCTCTTCCAGCCAATTATCCCTCATTGTTTGAAATTAAAATTAGGGTGTGTGCCAGAAGCTCAAGCAGGGAAGCAGAAGGAGAAGGGAGCATCTAACCTCCTCCACTCCCTCTCATCATAGTGCAAAGGGCTCCCACCTCCCCCATTATTGGGGGTGGGGGTATAAATAGACACTCCTTTTAGTCAGTGTTCAAAACTCCCATTGTTCTAGGAGCATTTTGCGACAGGGAATTTCATTAGCAGGAGCAGTTTCTGAGCTCTGGGCGCAGCATTGCGCCTAGGATTTCAGATTAAAACTGCAGAGTGGGAGGAAAGGAGGACCTTTTTCTGCCTCCCCACTTCCACCTACTGTCTGAAGACTGGAGAACAGACTCTCTTAAGAATATTAGGGGGGTGGACATGGGAAGGACTAGACCATGTGAAAAATGAACATAATATTTTAGGTGCATTCATTTCAGCTTTGCATTCTTGTTATATAAAAAAGCACGCCTATACATTCCATTGTTGTGCCCATAACCTAGGTTTAAGGTGCCATTTAGCTCCTAGCTTTCATATCTCAGTTTCGAACCCTGCTTTTAGTCATAGTTCCCCTAGCCTTTTCTTTTCTTTTTTTAATGGGGAGGGACATAAAAGAATGGGCAGCAAATAGCCCCCTACCCTCCCCCCCCAAAAAAAAAATATGGGCAGAAAGCACCCACATCTTGCTACCCCTGGGAGAAAAACAGACACTCCTTTTTGCCATTCCTCCCTTAACCTTAAAAGGGGGGGGGCATAAGGAATGGGCAACTACTAGCCCTCCCTGCCCCCATTTATAGGGTGAAAGACACCCCCTCCTCCAACCCCTGGGGACACTCCTTTTAGACATTCCTCCCCTATCTTTTTAATTGGGTGGGGGCTATAAAAAGCGGGAACGAACCCCTTCACATTATAGGGTTTTATAAGGCAACTGCCCCCTATCTCCCCCCCTAATTAAAGGGCAAAGGGCACCCCTCCTAATTATAGGGCAAAAGGGCACTGACCTCCTGCAATCCCTGAGATTGGGGGGGGGTTGGCTCAGAAAATCCTACTACAGGGATTTTTTCCCTTCACGGGAGGAGCGGGAATGAAAGAAGGTGAGGTGGCAAATGGACTCCCTCCCCTTCCCTCCCCCCGCCCAGTTATGGGGCAAAGGCCACCCACCACCTGCTCCTTCCTCACTGAGGGCACAGGGACCCCTCTATTTGGGGGGTGCCCCCTTCCTTTTGAAAGAGGGAGGGCAGCAGGGGCAGGCCCTGCGACTGCCCTCCCCCTTCCCCATCCTCCCCACACAAGTGTCCTTGTGGGGAGGGGGTCCCGGGGCACCTCCCTCCTCCGACCCCCCGCTTACCTGCCCAGGTTGCTCTCCTTGCTCGGAGGAGGCCATGTTTCCAGACCCGGCTAATCGATCCTCGGATGCCATGGATGCTGAAGAGGGAAGGCGGCCGATGGAGGCGGAAGCAGCCGAACTCCGAGTTGCCGATCGGCGAGGGAGAAGTCGCCCGCTCTTTGCCTTCCTCTCCTTGCGAAATTTGCAGGGGGTTTAATTTAAGCCTGACGGCGGCAAGGAGGGGATAAAGGCTCGTTTGGTGGTTAGCGCGATCCTGAGCATGTCTGCTTAGAAATGCACAAGCTGCCTTATGCTGAATCAGGCCTCTGGCCCATCTGCACCTTGGTGTTGCCTGCACTGGCTGGCAGGGGTTCTTCAGGGTTTCAGGCAGGAGGCATCCCATGCTGCTCCTGGGGATTGAACCTGGGGAGCTTCACCGGGGAGCAGGTGCTCCACCGGCCCTTCCCTTAAGACAGTGGTTCTCAAACTCCCCCCCCCTTCCAGGCACACTTTCAGAATAAAAATTTGTTCGTGTATTTCTTAATTGATAAGAAATACACTGGAAAACAAAAAGAAACAACTTCCAGCAGTGCTTGATTTATAACATAGAGCACAACTAGTTTAGAATATGGCAATAGGATATCCAGAAAGTATAAAACAGTGCAGCTGCATAAGAACATTAATCACTGCACTGACTGACAGCAGCTCTCCCAAGGATTCAGGCAGAGGGTCTCTCCTCCCAGACAGTCCTACCTTGGAGATGCTGAAGGGACCTTCCTCATATAAAGTAGACCCTGTACTGCTGAAAGAAGGGTCGTGTGTGACCTCCCCGATATTATTAAGAGCTCAAATAGTCATGGGTGTGCGATAAAAGGATGTCTGGAAGGGAGCCCACAAAAGCGAACTGTAGACAAACGCAGCTATGCCTTCATAGTTCATACTCCCTATAGTTCTTCAAAGCCACGAAATTTTATTTCCAGTTAAATAATTCAACTTTAGGGTTACAAAGTATCCCCGTTCCCTCTTGAAGCAAGTATAGTATTGGCCAGTTTGATAGTATGAAGCGAATGAATATGTAAACTTATCCTTGAACTGGAGACTTCGGAGAGATGCTGGCTGAGGGAGAAATAAATTAATGGGATTTCTTGCTTTGTCACCTCAAAATCGGGATTAGTTTAATTAGATGGATGAGAACTACATTTCCCATCGTGCAAAGAGGCGGGTTTGCTGTCCAGAGGCTAGAGTGCGGAATGAATTTGGGAAGAGAACTACATTTCCCAGGCTGCATCAGCAAAGCGAGCTCTGCTCCGATTGGTTGCCTGCAAAGAGCGGTCTGAGCCTTTCTCTATCTAACAGCCTTCTTTATAGCAGAGCCGAACACAAGCAAAGCGATGGCGGCTGGTTCCAGGCTTCCCCAGTTGAAGCAATGCCTTATCAGGCAGAATGGCCAACAGGAGCAGCACGGGGTGGCGGCCTCCTGCCTGCGGGAGCTGCGAAGCAAAGGTAAGCGGGTTTTTCCCTCTCCCCTCCTCTTTTTACAGAGGCAGAGATTCCACAGGTGAAGCTTCCCCATATCAGTTTCCCTGGGTATTGAAAGCTGCACCGGTTGAATTTCGGTCTGGAATGCATCTTTAAAAGAGGATCTTACCTAGGGCGGTGGGGAGGTGGAAGCCCGGGAGAACAGCAGTAACTTTAACAACAAAAAGTCAAAATAGTTTTGTGGTACCAGAAAGACTAATGAATTTATTGTGGAATAAGTTTTCCTGGATCAGTGTCTGCTTCATCAGATGCATAAACTATTATCCAAAGTTGACAAGAATGTCTTCTTTCCCTCTCTCTCCCTCTCTCTCTCTCTCTCTCACACACACACACAAACACACACACAACACACACATCACAGTTGTATTTCCCTGCAGGATTACAGTTCATAAATCTAATGGACTATGCTCCACAACATCATAAATCATACTTAATCATAAATTTGCTGGCCTGTCAATTACTGTCAGTTTTGCCACCCCTCTGGTTTTATTTTTTCCAACCAGGTTTCAATAAAGCATATATTTTTTTAGATTATGTAATAATAGTAAAACAGTATACCAGATATGAATTAGAATCCTAAATCCTGATATTTCTTTTCTTTTCCTTCTGACTTGCAATTAAAATGAGATAGCAGTTTTAAATAAATAACTCCAAACTGGTTTGGGTAAGTGATGAACTGAAGAGGAGCTGGGGTCTCAGTATAGAATCATGGTGCCCTCAGATAGCCCAGCTGATAGCTTCCAAAGTTCCCTGGCCCTCAAATTTTAGAGGGTTAGTTTTGCCTTTTCTTGGTGGTTGTTTGGGGGCGGGGGTACCTGTTTCTTGTGGGGGTGTTGTTTCCTTCTTTTTCTGTTTCATCTTTTTTTGGTAGAGGGTTTTGCCTGTAGGAGGGAGGTTATGAGCATTAATAATTTTTCTTCTGTGAAATGGGTATTTTTTTGTGATGCCCACAAATGTACCCCCAGGCCCAAAGAGAGGGGTTGGGAGGCTCTGGTCTCCCAATGCAGTCTCATTTGGAATATCGTGGGCCGTTCCGGCCACCCCTTCTGAAAAAAATTAAAATGTCAAGGAAATAGTGTGAAAGGTGCAGAAAAGCAGGGCCAGCCTACTCATGAGACAAAGTGAGACAACCGCCTCGGGCGGCAGGATCCAGAGGGGAATACATTGCCTGCTGCTGCTGTCACAGTGTCCATGACAGCAGCATGCAGTGCATTGTGCATTCCCCTCTGGATCCTGCTACTTGAGGAGGGCAGATCTGCTGCCTCTTTGGCACACGCCACCCAGCTCAAAATGTTGCCTCTACAGTAGCCTCTTGGAGGTGCTGCTGGTCTCCTCCTTCCTTTGTTCCCTATTTAGAACTTTATTTCTCCCTTGTTCACCATGTAGATCTTCACTCACCCCTTCTTCCTTGGCTGGAGAGGCATCATTTTGTGGTTTGCCTCAGATGTCAACAAGTCTTGGGCTGGCTATGGGGGAAAAGTCAACCAAAATGAGGCTGGAGCACTTTCCCTATGAAGAGGGTCTAAAGATTTTGGGGTGTGATTGATTCTCAAGAATGCAATATTATTGCACTTATTATTGAGGGGAAGTGTGTGGAACAGGTCTCGGTGTTTCGATTTCTGGGAATGGAGTTAAGAGATGACCTAACCTGGGGAGAAAACAGCAGAGACCTGATGAAGAGAGCACAGCAGAGGTTATATTTTCTGAGAATCCTCCGGAAAAACAATCTCTCAAAGGACCTGTTGACGGCATTTTACCATTGTACTGTGGAGAGTGTATTAACTTACGGTCTGTGTGTGTGGTTTGGGAGCTGCACGGCCAAGGAAAAAACAATGCTGTCCAGGGTTGTAAAGACTGCAGAGAGAACAATTGGGTGCACTCTTCCCACCTTAGATAAAATCTATGCTATCAGGTGCCATAAGAAAGCGGCAGAGATAGCGCGGGATGGTACGCACCCCGGAAATGATCTCTTTCAGCTTCTGCCTTCTGGAAGAAGGTATAGGGTTATAAAGACCAGGACTAGGCGCCCGAGAAACAGTTTCTATGCAAATGCAATTCTGGTTCTAAACACAGCATAAGGAGTCTCTATAGTATAGTGTATTTTAAAATGGGGTTTCAGAGTTTTTAGGGTTTTTTGAATGTTTAATGTAGTTTTTCAATTTTGTTGTTCTGCATGGGACAATGACAATAAGATATCGTATATCGTATATCATATAATATCTATAAAGAAACAAGAATTAAACTCTAGGGATTGGGCCCAGCCAGACAACGCAAGCAACCCATCTGGTCACTTGGGACATGCTAATGAAGGAGGACGCAAACTGGATAGATGGGCTAATTATTCCTTGCAGTGTCACAGAGGAGCACAAGTCTTGTGACCTGGTGCTGTGCAGAGACAGGTGTGCCTAATCCCACTGAAATGTGAAGCACGCCTAACTGCATAGAATCAAGGCACTGGAATCTTGTTGCAAGGGGTTCCACAGTGCAGCGTTTGGACTGTGCAGCGAAGCCACTTGAAGAAACAAAATCGATTGGGGAGGGCAGAATGTAATAAAGCCTGGGTGTTTGGAAAGATGAGCTTACGAGAAGAAAAGGCAGTGGACCTTCAAAAGGAAGTAAAAAAAGGAAGGTGACCTAGTTGAGTGTCTTATGATTAAGGCGTGTGGACAAAACTCTTGTTAAAGCTCAATTGCATTAAAGAATTCTAATCTCCACTGGTGGGGAGGGAAGCTCTTGCTGAACCTGTGTTACTTGTGGCTCCCAGGCATTTAGAATTGCCCTGCAGCCTTCTAATACAGAATTGGGCACTGCAAATTACACACAGCTGACCTGCAAGCTTTTGTGGTGAAAGCTCTCATTCCCGTGTAGCCCTGGGCAAGGAAGGCCACAGAAGTTACTTGACCTCACCCCCTATGTTCCCCCCCCCATCTGCATTAGTCACTTGTGCCATGTCATCTCAATTAGTGGCTCCCAATCAGTGGATCGCTTAACGATTTCTCTGCCTGTTATAGCAATTGCAGTGGCACTGTGCTAGACACCATATGATTTTTAATTGTATTTTTATTACTGCTTTTACTTCTGATACTGTTTATTATATTACAATAAAAGCAGCAATAAAAATACAATTTAAAAGCAATTTGATGTGGCCATTTCCTGTCTTCAAATGCAGATCCACAGGCACACAAACCACCTGAATGAAACTCATAGACTACCGCTGGTCCACCGTTTTGGAACCCCTGGTCTAAATGGAAACAGACTCTCAGTTTACAAAGGTTTCCCTTCGTTCACCTGGATTCACTGGTTGTTCGCCCTTGGAGTGTAGCTATTTACAAAGAACCTTTTAGCGTTGTACAATTTGGCAAGAGGATACCTGCAATACTTTTCATAATAAATTTGATGTGAGATAAAAATTGTATTTTCCTATTCCTGGTTTTATTGTTAGTGCCAGAGGGAAGAGAAAAGGGCAAACACGTTGTTTGTATAAATAAAGTTAAATGCACTTTTCACAGAAACTGTTGTATGCCATTGGGGCCAAGACTTTCTGCGCTGTCGTGGTGACTCTTTAGGAACATAGGAGTGTCTGCACTGACCTGCAGCAGCTCCCTAGGGTTGCCAGGTGACATCCCAAGCCTTACCTGGAGATGCCAGGGATTGAACCAGGGACCTTCTGCATGCAATAATAATAATAATATTTATATCACTGAGCTATATGGACTCTTCCCCTTTCCACAGCCTGTGACCTCCTAGCAATTGACAAGGCCTCAGAGCCCATCACGCTGGTGTTGGCTGAGGATGGCACCATTGTGGATGACGAGGACTATTTTTTGTGTCTGCCGCCGAACACCAAGTTTGTGGCACTGGCAAAGGGCGAGAAGTGGTCCACCAGCAGCATAGGTAAATGGAAGAGTTGAAGCTCTGTAAGATATGGATGCTGTGTGTAGGGGCAAATGAGGCCCTGGGCAAGAAGCACCTTTGTTGCTGCGGCTGCCACCACTACCACCACTCCCTTTAGGTTCTTCAACTTTTTAGAACAGGCAACGACCAATTTGCATGTGCCCAATTGACACACGGCCACAATTGCACACATCACCGCACCCCAGAAGTGGCTGGAAAAGGTGTTGGGGGTGGAGGCGGAGCGGGTTTATGCATGGGGGTCTGGAGCACAACCCCCACACAAAGCAGTCGTTGCCTTACCTTATTGTTGCACTTGCAGACCATCACATGCTTTTGGTGGATATTTGACACCTGCCATATAAGGCATTAATTTGCCTAGAGCAGGGATAGCCAACATGGTACCTTCCCGATGTTGCTGGACCACAGCTCCCATCATCCCTGACCTGTGGCCAAGCTGGCTGAGGCGGATGGGACTTGTAATCCAGCAACATTTGGAGGGGCACTAGTTTCCCACTCCTGTTCCATGCTCTTAGCACTAGAGCTCTTGAACATTCAATGAAGCTGAGCGCTGGAAGATTCAGGACAGATAAAAGAAAGTACTTCTCCATGCAGTGCAGTTAACCTATGGGACTCATTTCCACAGGAGGCAGCGATGACCATCAACTTGGATGGCATTAAAAAAGGATTGGACAAATTCACAGAGGGCAAAGTTGCTACTAGGCACGATGCTTATGCTGTGCCCTCCACAGTTGGAGGCAGAAATATTTCTGAATACCAGTTGCAGGAAGCCACAGGAGGGGAGAGTGTTCTTGTGCTTGAGTCCTGCTTGTGGGTTTCCCACAGGCATCAGGTTGGCCAGGGATGATGCTGGACTAGGTGGGACACTGGCCTAACCCAGCACAGCTCTTCTTATGCTCTTATGTTCTTTTAACCCTGATTAACTTTGGCTTAGGGACGCAGGTGGCGCTGTGGGTTAAACCACAGAGCCTAGGACTTGCCAATCAGAAGGTCGGCAGTTCGAATCCGTGCGACGGGGTGAGCTCCTGTTGCTCGGTCCCTGCTCCTGCCAACCTAGCAGTGTGAAAGCACCTCAAAGTGCAAGTAGATAAATAGGTACCACTCCGGCGGGAAGGTAAACGGCGTTTCCGTGCGCTGCTCTGGTTCGCCAGAAGCGGCTTAGTCATGCTGGCCACATGACCCGGAAGCTGTACACCGGCTCCCTCGGCCAATAAAGCGAGATGAGCGCCGCAACCCCAGAGTCGGTCACGACTGGACCTAATGGTCAGGGGTCCCTTTAGCTTTAACTTTGGCTTAGCTCAGTGTGGCAGTAAAAAGGACCAGGGAGGAGAACAGTGGCTGCAAGTTCCTCTCCAGGAGTCCCCACATTTGCACTGCATCACTATAGCTTGGCCTACAGTGTTATGCGAACAAGCTGATTACTTTGTGAATTTTGGCATAAACTTGCTTAATAAGCTTTACCTTTGCACTTATAACTGTGGCTCTTTTTCAGATGGGGGCACAGCTTGGCTCAAGGAAGATGTCGCCAACGTTGACAGAGTGGACGGTGGTGTTGGTGGAGGAGAGAAGTGGAGGCAACTGGCCAGACAACTGAAGGACGACCTCTCCACCATCATCTTGATGTCGGAGGAAGACCTCCAGGTAAAGGAAGGGCCGTGTGCCTTTGGCAACAGGGTGGGGGGGGAATGAGGATCCCTCACCTTTGCTGTAAGAGGATGGACCTCATCTAATTCTAGGTGCTCATCGATGTGCCATGCTCTGACCTGGCTCAAGAGCTTTCTGAGAACCAGCCCAAGATCCAGACTCTGCAAGACACCCTTCAGCAGGTGCTGGACAGGCGGGAAGAGGAACGGCAATCCCGGCAGCTTCTGGAACTCTACCTGCAAGCGTTGAAAAACGAGGACCACATTGTACCCAAAGCAGAAGGTAAGGAGGTTGTTGGCTGAGGCTCGTTTCTCAACAAACCATGCCAGAGTGAAGAAAGAGGGCAATATGATGGTCCCTTTACCTTTATGAATTATTTTAATCATCATTACCTAGAGCCAGGATCAGAGGAAACTGCCATGGACGAAACAGACGTGGTTGACGCTGGGAGCAGCAACAGCAGCAGCAGCAGAGGTGCTGGTAACGGGGTTCCACTCAGCAGCCATGTTCGGACCACACTTAAAGAGAAGTCTGCCCCAGAACTTGGCCTGGCAAGTCAGGACTTAGAGGTGAGTCCACACAGAGTTCTTTCCCTTTGTTGTGCTTGGATTCCAAATAAAATCTCCATGGAAAGAGAAAGGGCAGAATAAAGCATTTGGGAACTAATGCAGTCAATATTTATTCTAAAGGAGGGTGGGTTCGGGTGAACAACACACAGCCAGAATTGGGCTAACATCACTCTCTCCCTCTAGTCCATTTGTCTTCCAAGGTTCCAAATTCTACCTTCTCTGAGGCCCTAAGCTATTTGGAGCTGAATCTGCCACTCTTCCCGTTTTTGTTTAAACTGGATTTTCCAGTCAGCACCACATAAAGATGTTTGTCCTTCTCTTCGGCTTAAAATGTTTTTAAGTTTAAAACTTTTAGGCATTGATCTCCTTGTTGCTTTGAAACAAAAACAACTTGTAGTTCCCAGTGTTGTTTTTGTTTAATGTGTTTATATCGTGTTTTTTTATACCACTCTGTCCTGCAATCTTACCATGAAGGATAGTATACAAAGTCTTAAATATCACCCTCCCCTTTTAAAAACTACCTCCTCTGTGAATTAAATTAAAAATTAAATTAAAAATAGAACCAGCACAAAAAGCTTCCTTGCACCAGTTCAAACCATCTATCAATCTAGGCTGCTGATGTCTAGCAAGGTCCTCTCTCATTACCAGTTCTGGGAACCTCTTTGAGACTAGAAATGTCCAAGGTTTAAACCTTATGCATGTAAATCATGTCCCCTGCCAGTAAGCCATGTGGCATCAAGAGAGAGCCAATCATAAATCTGACATCTTACGCAGCTTGGTCCCGAGTGATAGATTCTTCTTTCCTTTCTGTTGCAGCTGGTTTACAAAGCAAACCTAGAAGCTCTTGCTCTGACCCTGAACTGGGACAAGCCGAAGACAGAGGCCTTGCAGCAAGCCTGTGGGGAGGAACTTTCAAGGCGCCTACAGCAGGTTCACGCCCTAAACTCCTTGAGGAGCATGTCCAAGGGCAAGAAAAAGTTGCCATGGGGGGACTGGTTGAGTTCCAAACGCAAGAAATAAGGAGGCCTTGGGAGTCCAGGTTTGGACACATCGATGAGTTTTCTGTGCCTCTACAAACTGAACAACACCATGTGAGCACAGAAATTCTAACCAGGACATTGTTCACTGGACTCTGCATCATTCTGCGTGGAGAAAGTCTTTGCATTTCTACAAAGCACTGCAGTATACCAACTGCCAAATTAGGGGGGTGAAATTATTTCGCGCACATGCTATGAGGGCCTGCTGGAATCCTTAAAAGATTGTGATATATATTTGTTTAAGTATGCAGCGAGGAAAAACTTAAAAAAAACTATCTCCTTTATGCTTACAGGTGGTGCTGTTAAGTTGCCACCATGATTAATTTCTGGCTTTGGCACTGGCCCAACGCCCTAGTTTATGGGTCCTGTTTTTTTGTGCCTGATCACCTTTTGCCTTACCTTCCTGCTTTTCGATACTTCCTTCCTGCTAGAACATCACACTTCATTACAAATATATACAAAACATGCATTTTAGTGGCACATTTCATGCTGTAGTCGAATGCAGCCAAACATCTTGTGTTCCAAAGCCACGCTTGCAAAGTGGCCCCCAACTGGTAGCTCTCCTTCTCTTGCCTCAGTGCCTGTGCCGTTTCTATGAGACTCCGTCTGTTTATGAGGATGACATTAAGAAAACAATAATCTGACTTTCTGGGGCATTCCAGCTGAGACTATAACCTGCATAAAGTATCATGGGATAGTCACCACTCCTATTAGCAATAAATTCGACTAGTTAGCGGTTTATTTTTCTAAAAAGCAAAAACCCTATTTAACCCTACATTTGCCTAGTATTAAAACTTTTGTATTATTATATATGTTTCTGCCTGCTGTCTGTGCTACTGGTTTTTTAAGCTTAGGTATGTATGCCTTTGCCTACAAATCCCAATTGCTTAGTATATGGGTCAGCCCCCTACAAAGAAGCAACAGATAAGATAACTTCTGAAACTGCTATACAGTTCTCATGTATGTTTTCCCCCCTCTAACACAGCAGAACAGTTTTCTCAAAAACAGTGCATGACATACATTCCTGAAATGGCCTTGGGGTTTTAATGGTGAAATACAATCATGCAGATGGGAAGCTGACTTGTACAAATCAGACCGTTAGCCCAGTCTTGTTTATTTCTGAGTGGCAACAGCTCCCCAGGCTCTCAGCCCTTTAAGAGCCACCTGTCATGTATGCTTTAGCTAAAATCCTGCATTGGACTTCTTCCAACTCCATAATTGTATAATTCTATGAGCTCCCATCAGCCCTGACCATTGGTCAAGCTGGATTTGGAGTCCAGCAACATATGGAAGAGCCCAGATTTTCCCCAGCCATGATTTAAAAGAACCCCCAAATGCAGACTTTCTTCAGCTTTGCTGCAACAAGAGAATCTGATCAGTGGGGAGGTGGTAGAGGAAGGGCAGTTAGTACCAGTGTCTGTCCAATTCACATACAGAAGAAAAAATTGTCCGGGTCAAGTTTACAAACTGAGCCAGAGGCACTACATGAAATGTTGCTAAGGAAAGAGGCACATGTAATCACATGTCCACGCTCTCCCTGGATAGAATACAGCACAAAGGTTACGTATGCACACAGCAAAGTTTTATTTCAGAATCTAAAGGCTTATTTGTACTAGGAGACAAGCTTAGCACTAGCAAACAGCAGAGGAAAGACAAGTTGGGACAACACTCTTTAGTGTGCTGGTGAGAATCTGTGAGGAACAGCTGAAGCTTTCCCTCAATATGTATGTGTGTGTTGCTCATTCCTTCTCTCCCACAAAGACCGGCACGTCAATTCAAGGTTATGCAGCTTGGCAGAAAACACTTCACTATACCAGTGACTAGCCTGGTTGCTATTTGTGTGTGTGTGTGTGTTTAAATTTCCTTAACAAAACCTTTCAGGATCTGGTTTCCATTCTCCAATTTTAAATGAACAAAAAGTTCCGAGAAACCAAGGCTGTGCTCTTAAACACACTTGTGAGAAGTGGAGATCCACAGGGCTTCTTTTGAAGTAAATGCATTTAACTCTGTCCTAACCATCTGTTGTTGGGGTATGATGTACACGTAAGAGTACAATGCAGTCATCTGCATTTTTAATGGAGTCAAAGAAATATAGGTAGAACTGCATTTATACTGTGATTCGGTAGAAGCCCAGAAAAACAACACAGGACTGAGGTTTCTAAGACTCTCGACTTAGAGGAAAAGTGGGATAAAAAATGTAATTAACAGAACAATTCTTGGGTTGTTTTTTTTTTAATGGTACATGTCCCTCTTACTCTCCAGTGCTATAGGCTGCCCAAACACATCCACAACACAATTGTAACAGCAAGGAGCATACATCTCTCTTTTGACATGGTGCACTAGCACTCCTAGTAATTGGTTGGAAATGTGTAGAAGTTATTTACAGGCAAATATACATGGAGTGTGCTTTATTTCACAGTCTGAATGAGATGGGGAACATCAGTTAAATGCCCTACAAACACATCTGCACACGAGTTGGGAGTTATGAGCATACTGATTTGGTTCTCTATGCACACATCTAATATCAACAAAAGGGAAAGGAGAAATTTTAAATTACATAGCAGCACTTGCTGCTCAAAGAGAGAAGTCACCGATCATAGCCATCTCGAGTCCACTGGTGCTAGGGCAACATCCCAAGAAGTAATTTTCGTTAGCAGGAAGAGAAAGTCTTCCAGAAGAAGTTCTTACAGGGTGCCTTTTCCCGGGCTGGGGGCTGAGGATGAGGGGCTCTGTCTTCCCGAGAGCTGAGCCCAGCCTTTTCCTGCCTTGATAGTGGCGCCTCATTCGTACGAGATACCCAGTCGGCGAGGCCAGAAAGGAAAGCAAGCAGCTCACTTCTTTTTATGTCTGTCTGTGCCTGCGAATACTTGCAAATGAAGCAGAGGTGTATTAGGCATTATTGCAGAAATGCAGAACGGCAGGAATAGCTGGGAGAAGCACAAATTGAATGGTTTTACAAACACACACAGAGCATCAACTGCTTTGGGCAAGATTAACACAGCTGAAATGAATTCAGTTTAAAATGCAGAATATATTCAATTTCATTGTTCTGTATGGGACAACGACAATAAAGATATTGTGTATGTTTCAGGTCTGCGGAGCCTTTGGCCCTCCAGATGTTGCTGAACTACAGCTCCCATCAGTTCTAACAAGTATGGGAGTTGCATTTCAACAACTGGAGGGACAAAGGCTCTCCACACATGATTTAGTTGAATGAGTGCTAGATTAAATCCGTAAGAACAAGGGAAGCTGCATTCTATTGAGACAGGCCACTGGATCTATCTAGCTCTGTGGAATTTCCTCTGACCAGTTCTCCAAGGTCTCATGTAGAGATCTTTCCTAGACCTGCTGGAGACTGGACCACACAAAGACCTAGCTCACACAAAGCATGCACTCTGCCACTGAGCCTCCTTGTCCCATTTTCATGTGGGCTCTTTACCTACCTAGTGGGTTGAGTGTTGTATTTTGTGAGTCAGGATATGCCATGGCAAGGGGGCGGTTGAAGAGGGAAGGTATCCTTCACCCTAAAGATGTTTCAAAATGTGTTACTGTACTGTTCATTGGGGCGAGGATTTCATTTATTGTACTGTTGTATTTTTTGAGTTTCATTGTTGGTTAGATACACATTGCCTTTGTTATTCTGTAAACTGCTTAGAAACAGTCATAAGTAGTAAGCAGTATATAAATATATTAAATAAAGAAACTAGGCATTTGTCTTCTTCAAGAAGAGCAGAAGTGACAGAGATGAGTGATGATGTCCTATACTGATTTATATCCAGTTGACTGGATGTCTTCTTTTTCTGCCTCACAACTGGAAGGGGGGAGAACTCCTTTTACGTCTTAATTTTCCAAGGCTTCAGTGAAATTGCAAACAAAATAAAATTTCTAAAAGGAATTTTTTGTGTGCTTCTTTTTAAGGATAATTCCACTTTGGTCTTCTACTTCATTCATAAAGCTCTCATTAAAAATAACGACAAAGGCGATCAGCTAATAAACTATCAGGCTGCCACGTTGTAGCTCATCCAATAATTTGGATGAAAAATATCTTTTTAATGATCAATTTTATGAACTGTTTCTTGGATCTTTTTCAAGAGAGTGTATAGTAAATCAAGCACTCAAGAGTTGAAAACTCTTAAAACTGCTTCTTTAATGACCATTTTGAAAACCCCATAGCAGCATTCAATTATATTGATAAATGGGGGGCTTCAGATTTTCTTTTCTGTATTATTTAAAGCTGAGACATATACAATGGAGATCTGAGGGAGAGTTCATCAATAATACCTCAGCCAGCTCAGCTCTGCTCTCAATGGGCTTCGTTCTTTCCCATCAGTAAGCACAGTTAAAATTTTACACGTCTGCGTTCTTTGAGTTTTTAGCAATTCTCATACATGGCTTTTATTCAAGCAAGTCCTACTCAGAGTAGACCCACTGAAATTAATGAACCCAAGTTAGTGGGTCTGCTCTTCGTAGGACTAGCATTGGATACAACTTTTATGTTTCCACAACACTGTCAGTAATCTTGTTAAAACCAAATGTTTGGAAGCTCTATTTTTATTTTGTTAAAAAGTACTGGAAACAGAGATCCTTATAGAGGTTTCATTATACAATGTCCCAGATCGCAACCCTGAAGACACATTTATACTGCACAGTAAAAAAGTAAACAGGTTCCTACAATCAGAGGGGTTTACTCGAGACCTTCCTTGGAGATTTTAAAGCAGAGGTTGGATTGCCATCTGTCATGGATACTTTAGTTGAGATTCCTGCATTGCAGAGGGTTGAGCTGGATGACCCTCAGGGTCCCTTCCAACTCTACAATTCCATTCTGTATGGCTTAGTGCCATTGCATTTCCTACAAATTGAAGCTGGGGCTTTAGTTCTGTAAGAGAACTGTAGTCCCATACACCACTTTCTCTGAAGACCTACTGATTTCAGTTGGGCTTCCTTCCAAGTAAATGGGTGGCTTTGAACCATACAGTGATTTGGGATAATACAAACTCAGGCTATCTACTGATTAGTTAATTGAAATGATACCTAAATTCTCCAATCTATTTATATTCCATCTTTGTGCTGCTTTGCAGTGTCTGTTTTGGACTGTAGATTCCTTGGGAGCAAAGACCTACCGTATTTTTCCATGTATAAGACTAGGTTTTTTTAAACAAAAAATTAGGTTTAAAATTGAGGCTCGTCTTATACACGGGTAGTGCTGAGGGGTGTTTTCTTAATTTGGAGTCCCCAAAAATAGGGCATCTTACATACGGAAAAATATGGTATTTCATCCTGCAACGTACCATGTTCTTTAAACTGTGTGCCAGCCATGTACAATTTCAGAGTAAACATGGGTTGTACTTTTAATAATACCAAAGCTAAGATGAAAGACCAGTTCAAATACTGTACTCTTTTCCCAAGTCACAGAACAGAAAAAAATAAAACAAAATCACCCAATACCCCCCTCCCAAAACCAGGCCAAAAATTAAAATCTGTCTCCCTTTCCTGCCAATTAACAAACTACAATACCTTCTTACATGGGAGCAAGCCTCACTGAACTCAATAGGACCTGCTTCTGAGTAGCCATTTACAGGATTGCTCTGTCAAGCTTTCATTGATTATTCTATGATTATAGCTTGCTCACATAATGGATGGAAGGCAAAGTAATTCCTGGCTGTGTTTTATATCAGTTGACTCCTAATTTTCAGCTTACCTTGCTGTCTTTCCACGCAAGTCCTTCTGGAACAGGAAGTGTAGCGGGTGCGGGACAGGAGTAGATCACCACCAGCAGAAACAGGCAGCGCATGAGGTGCCCAAGGAGTGCCATCTGGTTCAGTTCTGCCAGGAGCTACTTGCTTGCAAGTTATATTCTGTACCTTCCCCCCCCCCCTTTTTAGGGGAGGGGGCGCTCACTTAAATGTTTTTTATTCAAAGAACCCCCTCCTCCTCGCAACCATCACTACCCCTTCCCCCTCCCATCTCCTTCCAAACACAAGCAATGACGCACGAACCAGGGAGCAATTAAGTCCCAAAATTGTGCGTCTTGTTTGATTTTAACCCTTAATTAGAGCCTCTGGGTGCCAATCCCATTAGAGTACATTTACTGTTAATTTAAGCCACATATGCATTATTCACTTGCTAAAAAAAAAAAAACCAACCCAACCAAACCTCATTTCCTTGCCATTATTCCCATAATGATTAGGCCACTTTGAGCACAAAAATAGGGTGATTTAGCAACAAATGACTCACGATGGTGCGTTTAGTGGAGGGAGAAATGCCTTCTGAGAATAATTGAGAAATCTGCTGCAGCAGCCTCAGGATATACTTGGAAAGAACAGAAACTTCACTTCTATGAATACATCTCCAACACCAGCAGAACTAAGTTTGGGAGTGATGCTTAAAATCTCCAGACTGCATAACAGGATCCCAAGGAGCAATTCAACGGCATTAAGGGGCAATTTAATTGGAGGCTGTTAAGCTTATAGGGACTGCCTATTCTCCTTCCCTCCAGGTAACTTTAAAAGCTGCCTTGTCAGAGGTGTGAGCCTTTAGCACAAGCTGAAGGGTCTTGTAGTCAGTCAGGGTCTTTGCCTTGGGCCCATGCCCCTGTGAAGAGCGAGCCCATTCCTCCAAAGACTGTGGAAAGGAATTATCTTAAGTATCTCACATGGAAAAACAGCATCATAGACAATCTGGATCTTCTATGGAATCTGTTGCCCCATCCCTCCCAAAAATTAGATTTTATCAAATTTCTTAAGAGTGAAAAGAAAGCAGCAGTCTAAAAGCTACGGGAGCTATTGTTGCTTGGGAGTATGCTGCTGCTGTACTCAATGAAAAAGCCACTTTCCAGAGGGAAGGCACAGGGCTAGTGCTCAGCAGCCATTTCTGATATTTTGAACCACAAGGAGTTTGCACTGAATTGTACTGTTTGAGGAATTACTTTGGGGTTGTTGTTTTTTGCCCTATTTATGTTGTTGTGCTTCTGATATTATAGTGCTTGTAATATTTGCTCATTTTTAAAGCTTTTGTGATAATTGTGTGCCACTTTGAGCTCAACCTCATTGTGGAAAAGTGAAACACAAATGTTAAATCAATCCAAAATCAATAAGGGGAGGGAACCAACTCCTTTACTATGTTACTAGCAAAGCAGTTCAGGGCAGAACTAGGAAATGGATTCTGGACAAAGGTGTGGGGAATCTCAACTTCAAGCTCCCTTTATTTATTTTATTTCACTATTTCTTTATTGGATTTATATCCTACCTTTATTCCCGAAGGAGCAGGTGGGATTCACAAAGATATTTGTTGGTAGAAGCTAGGAGGCAAGGCTGTCAAGTGGAAACGTGAGAGATGTCTATAAAATTATACATGGTCCTTCTTCCTTCTCTTATAATACTAAATGGGTGACACTAAGATTGACTGGCAGTAGGTTCGGGGCAGTCTAAAGAAAATGCTTCTTCACACAACTGGTAATTAATTTATGAATGTCACTATCACAAGAAGTGGTGAGGGCCCCTAGCTTAAGTTTCAAAAGAGGCATCGACACACACATGAAAGGAGGGCATGCCTATCAACGGCTACTAGTCAAGATGGCCGTGCCAGAGGCCTGAGCTGAAATGGCTGGTTTGATCATAGTATCTCCAACCCATGCGGGGGGAAAGCAGATGGGCAACTTGGGATCTTATTGTGAACTTTGGAACCATATTGCAGGCAGTATGCAAGTTTGTCAAGAGAACGGCTCCCCTGGAAACTTCACATGAAGGGTTCAAGGCTCATTGGTATTAGGACTTTCATCTAGCATAGGCCCCATAAATGAGAGTATTTCTTTGATAATGAAGGGAGTCAGTGAGAGAGACAAAGTTGGTTGGAGCTGAAAACAGGAAAAAGATTTCACTTATGAACTGACACTTAAAGAGTGTGTGCCTGCCTGCCATCGAGAATGTGGGGATATGGTTAGAGAAATGGGAATGGGTTTTTTATAATAACCAGCTATGGACTTTTGCTGGTTTTTATTATCAATCCTGTCACGAATTGGTATCTACATATTTGTTAAACAATGAAAGTGTATAGCCAGAAGGATCTCAAAGCTTACTCTGTTCATGTATGCTCTGCAAAGAGCCATCTTTGCTTTGGAGAAGTTTGAGGGGTGTTCCAGCATAAAGGTTTTCACTCACGTAGGAGGTCTAACATCTGGCAGCCATATGCAGACCTCCAGATTCAAAGGCAACATGTCAATCAATACCAATTGCAGGGGGGTGGGGGTGGCAGCTGGAGAGGGCTACTGCCCTCATGCATGAGGGTTTCCTGGAGACATCTGGTAGACCACCATCAGAAGCAGGATGCCGGACTGGGTGGACCTTTGGTGTGATGCAATACGACTCTTAATGTGTCCCAAAATTTGGAAGTTAAAAAAAAATCTCTTGCAGGGGTGCTGCCAAGGAAAGGAAAGGGAGCAATTCTTCTGCAAATGCTTGGCCACTTTGAAGACAGGGACTGATAAAAAAGGCAGTTGTTCACATTTAATTACATTTAATACGTTATGACCTATGGCCTTTATACAATGCATTATGTGTTTAAGTGAAGTGAAATAGAAAAGACTTCTCAATGTTTTCCATTTGCTTAAAATCTCTCTTTCCCAAATGTTCAAAGCATCCATTTTTCATGTCTGCTGTAAGAAATGGAACTGGCATACCAACTGCATTGTGCTTGCTTACTTACTAATGAAAACCACAAGAGTCCTTTCTGCCCAAGGGCAAGCAGCAACTGAAGATCCTAAGGCAGTCCCAGGATCTCATTACTCCCTGCTGAAAATGATGTAGTCTTGATAAGAGAAAATCATGCCATATTGGAATCATCACTTTCAGCCACCACATGTTCCTCCTGTTCATCAGAGGCTCTTCTCCCTTTCCGAGAGCCCGATTTCTTTTTCCTTTTCTCTTTTTCTTCCAGGCTATTCAAAGCAATTTCTTCACTCTTCTCAGTGACGTATTTCAGCTAGAAAGAAATAGTTTTTATTCTCACCTATAGGGCAAAGTATCAACTAGTGAGAGCATTCCTCACCACAGGTTGGTGAAAGAGCACATGCTTTTCATGCAGAAGACTGCATGTTCAGTCCCCAATAACTCCAGCTGAGCAGTCAGGTAGCAAATAGGAGACTTCTGTCCAAGACTCTGGAGTGCTGTTGCCACAAGTCAAAGTAGACTATATTAAGTTAGATCAAGAGAAGGGAATCTTTTTCTGGATCTTGTACTTATACAGGACTGTTCTCCCCTCTCTCTCTCACACCAATTAGAACAACACTAATAGCAACCAAGTATAAACAAGGGGGTATTAACTAGCACAGCTGTGATCTAAGAGTGTAGAGGGGCACAACTGTCTTGCTCTTCCTGATAAGACATTATATGCCCAATTAAGCCGTACTGCAGCTGTTAGTTCAAGGACACACAAATCAGCTGCACCCTTTGCACCCCCTCAGCCTTCTCTTTGTAGCTGCATATTGCGCAGAAGGGTGGAAAGGCTTGCCTAGATTACCTTAAAGCTAGCAAAAACACACAGCATTTGAAACTGAAATTCTACTTTCTCTGTCTCTTTCTCCCTCTTTTTACAAAGGAAGAGATAAATATCTCAGAGAACACCTAGATCCAAAACACAGCCCTTCTCATGCATAAACAAACCCTGGCCAGGACTAGATGCTATGGAACATACACACACAGATAGCTACCCCTGACAACAACAGTTTTGTATCTCCTTTTGGCAATGTGCAACAATATGAAAGCTTTGAGATTGCCCTTACAAGTGGGGGGAAACTTGCAACATGAACCTCTGGCCCATGAACCAATCTTGGCCTGCCATGGATTCCAAGTTGACCCTCAAGCAATTTTTCAAAACCACAGCCACAAGTCAATCAGCTTACATTATTCCAATGGGTGGATGACATCAGCCGATAGGCGGGGTTAAATTTTGTGTCAGCTACACCCACCAATACTCCACAGGGAAATGGTGCATATGACCAAAGCAGTAGGATATAACCCTCCACTCATCAGCTGATGAGTGGGGGTTAAATCATTCTCAGTTTCCCCATCCCTGAGCTACCAGGAGAAGCAGGGCTATTTTTGACAGCAGCCATTCATCTCTGCTAACATTTCGTATCAGTCCAAGGGTCCAGGAAAATTTCAGTCACCCAGGACATTCTGTTGCTAACCAGGAAGTCACCACTCTTCAAACAGAAGAGCTACAAAATGGAAACTTTTGCAGAACTAGAAGGTATCACAAAGCTTTGTTACACATATCAGGGCTTCAATCAAGACCAAGGTTCTCTCTCTCTCTACAGCTGCAAAATTAATGCAGTAAAAACTAGGAAGATTGAGGTATCAACAATCATTGCTGCGGTAGACGGTCATTATATATTTGAGCTTTGTGTAGAAATGCCACACTTCACCCTTGCATTTCATGGCTGTTTTGAACCACTTGCAACGACTGCTGCTCCTTAGTCCAGCATGTGTCACTACACTTCAGAAAAGCATGACAAAGGGGGGGGGGAGGAAAAAAGCAGAAGACAGACATTCAAGGGTGACATTTGGGATGGAACAATAACGGAGGAAAGCAGTTTCTCCATCGGCAGCAAATGTTAATTTGTTTGAAGGCATCCTTAGGAAAAAACTGCAAGACTTCTGAACAACGTGCCAAAAAAACAAGAGGTTCATCTCACCAAGGACTTGCTCCTTCTAGCTAAAAGCTTTACATCCTCAAGGTTGACTGTACTTCGTTTTGCATGCCTGTGTAAAGAGGGAACAAAAAAACAAACACCAAATCACTAAAACACAAGCTGTTTGCAGGAGAATTTGCGGAGCTTAAAAATGTTATCTGTGAAAGGGCTTATTTGACTGTGAAACTATGGAAAGGACAGCCAAGGCAATGTTAACATTACTTGTTACGTCTCACTGGTAAATGAAGCAGCAACCTTAGGGTCATTTTTTTTAGCACACTTTTAGCGACTCCTTGGCTTGAATTAGCAATCTTATTTTGATGTCCTTCCTCAACCAATCACTCTCCTGTTCTACTCACTGACTTTTGCTGACCCTACAGATAAACTCTGAACCACAAGTGTAGCTCTTGATTCTCGATACTGTCATCTCTCTGGGGCTGGCTCAGATATTTTTGCCACCCTAAGCTGGCAGTCATCCTGTTATCACAGAGCGAGCATTCAGTCACACTATTGGTTCCAACAGGGAACCAGCCATTTTCAGATCACCACAAGAACCAATATTTATGTGCCACTTCAGGAAATCACAAATGCTCTTTGGACTGAGCTTGCCTAGGAAGCTGCCGAGTCCACCTGTATGGCTCAGGCTGCATTGATCTGCCCCTGGCACTGCTTTGTCTTCCTGCTTAACTAGTTGCTGCTATAATGCTGGTTCTTTCACCAGCTTTTTCCACAGTCACTGGGTAAAAAACCAGCCAGGTCATACTGTGCCACACTAGTAACTTCACTGCGTTCCTCGTTTGGCCTGGCTGGAATCCTGATTTTATATCATCCCCAACTTCCCTTTTAGCAAGTCACAGGGTAGTATCCTTCCTAGCCTGTTATACAACTTCACACTACAGATAGAGGGTAAACCACATTCTACAAAGCAACATCAGTGCTACAGATCATCATTGCATGTAGAAAACAAGTACATCAGGGAGAAGGTAGCACATCTAGACTGAGTTTTCTACATGCAGGGGATGTGCTTAAGAGGATTCTGTGTGCTGCCGCAGCTGTGTAATAAAACCTTGCCATCTCCCTCTCTTGTTCCACAGGAGGGACTGGGTTATAGGCAGACATATGGCTGGAACATAAATATCTGAATATACACACTGGCAATTTAAACTGGAAAGGGCATTGTGGGGAAAACCCCTGTGATTTAATCTTTAGTTGACAAGAAATTGGATTGAAGCACCTTTTATTCCATTTTGATTCTATGATGAAAAACAGGAAGGCTTCACTGCAACAGCATCTTATCTGTGCTTTTCAAAGCTTCTTGGGGCTCTCAGACAAAACTGTTTGGGGGTGGGCAGAGGAGGGGTTGCTTCAGCAAACTGTGTATATAAAATCTAATAAAACAAAACTGGCTGAAGGTACCCCACTTGCTGCTGAAGACCAAGTGCTTTACAAGCCATTCAAGTCCTACTTGATTTACACAATCACACACTGGGTCATTATGCAAACACATCATTATCTACAACAACTACCAAAAAATTCATTGACGTTCCAGTGATCCAGCAGGACAGACACACAAGCAGGTGGTCACAAGAGCTGGAAGCTGCAAAATCTGGATGAGTAAAAAGGCCCAGAAAAATACACTGGGTTAGATGGTCTCCAAAGAGAACTAACAAATAATATTCTAGCAGCAGGACAGGTGTGAAGTAGGGCAAGGCCTAGGAGAGCAACAGCAGGTACGTCAAAGGCTAAAGTGTGGGTGGAGATGTACAAGGGCCTTGAAAGTGCTGCTGACGAGTCTGAACAAGGCTAGAAAGTTAAGATAGCGCAGCAACACCTCCCAAACTCAGCCATAAAATGATGACTTCAATGAAGTCCACAGCACTCTCTGCCAAAGGGATTAGTGACCTGATACTATCTGCTGGCTCCAAGGCAGTGTACCAAGACTAAGTAGGTCCCTTAGCTCACTCTATTCCAAAGGCTCAGTGCAAAATTAACAGCATTAATTTAATACAGCTATTGAAGTATTCGTTAATACACTAAGATATAGTAAAATTTGCTCTGCTCCTGTTTTCTGCCTGCTTTGGTCAAACAAAAGCAAGAGGTTTGGATAGTTGCATGTCAAATTCATGCTTAGGATATTATTTAATGTCATCCATTCAGTGCTATTTTTCTAGAAAAAGAGGTGACGGAACTCACCATAAAATCCTCCCTCGTTTCCTTAGAATGGAAATGGCGCCTACCTAAAAAGTACCGGAAACAAGTTCCGGCAAGTTCCAGCTGGAAAAAAAAGCCCCATATCCATCCATGTAATCTTAGGGAGCAGTAAAAGGAAGTCTGTCAGCTCAGGAATAAGCACATTAAAAAGGAAAGAGGACACAGATAATATTTTAAAGATGTCTGAATGTGATGATTTTGAACCTTTCCCACTACAGTCATACCTTGGGTTGAATGCGCTTCGGGTTGAGCGCGTTCGAGTTGCGCTCTGTGGCAACCTGGAAGTAATGGAGCGTGTTACTTCCGGGTTTCGCCGCTTGCGCATGCGCAGATGCTCAAAAGGACGCCACGCGCATGCGCAGAAGTGGCAAAAGGCAACGTGCGCATGCGCAGACATGCCGTCACTAGTTACGTTTGCTTCTAGATGTGAACAGGGCTCCATTCGTATCCAGAAGTACCACTGTATCTGTTTCTGTGACCCTCTGTTCTGGCCATGCTTCCTAACTGCAAGGATACAAGCCCAGAACACTGATAGAGCAAGCAGCCTCTTCAAAGAAGTAAGCAATTCCACCAGCCACTTACTTATGAGTAGCAAACAAGTTTTCAGCTTCCGGAAGTCAAACCTTTCTATAAAAGAACATAATGGCAATCACTTTAGATTACCAACAGCTCTAATTTGACAGACTGGAGGGGTGGGTTCTATCACATGGGAAGACACCTCACACAACAGACTCTTCTGAAAAGCTTAAAACAAACCACCTACTCACCGGCTCATGAAGGGGCTCAATTTACAGCCAACAAAAGGAGCCCATCCAACAGTTGTGTGCTGTGTTAGGCATAACACCTGCATGCAATTACTTTAGGCAGAACACAATCCACCCACAAGGCTGCTCTTAGGAGGCAAGACTCAACACAAAGGCTTCATTATCCTCTAGGCAATTTACTATTTGTCTGTGTTGTGAAGATACATTTTTGTGCTTTGTACTGGCTTCCAGAGCAATTCTAAGACTAAAATGGGGAGGGGGGAAATTAAAAGCCTGCCAAAGAATTGATGGTACGTGAGAATTATTCACATTGAGGAAACATACAGACAGTTTTTAAGCTAAGCACTCAACCAAGCTTCATAAGAATGTAAGTGAGTGGGGAAGAGAAAGAAACCTTACAGGCTAGAATCAATAACCTGCATTCAGACTACAAAATAAATAAAACAGAGCCCCAACAGAGCACAACTGCTGAAGCAATGCTGCATAGTAAAGTGAACATTAGCTGGTTTCTGGGAAAAGTAGGTACAGGAAGGGAGGAAAGGTTTATGGGTACTTTCAGATGGGGGCTTAATTTGCAAAGGGGACATTCAGATATTGAAAACAGGTCATTGGCAACAAGTTTGCTTGATTTCTAAACTCTTGGATAGCTCAGTTCGTATAGCATAAACTAAATCTCAGGTTGTGGGCTCCAGCCACACGTTGGACAAAAAGATTCCTGCATTGCAGGAGGTTGGACTAGATGACGCTTGTGGTCCCTTCCAACTCTACAATTCTATGATAAATGCAAATTAAATGGGATGGGGCAGAATACAGGTTGATATTTTGATGCTGACGACTTTGTGTGGACTCTGAAAAACTCGCATGGATAAGCAGCACAACACATAGCTGTCTGGAGGTACCCTCTTATCTTTTCTAGATTTCTCACCATATTAATAAGCACAATGTCTAGTTTTAAGTAGCACATATTTCCGCAATACTTACCTAGCAAACATTTCAAGGTCTTTTGCAAAGATTTCTGAAAAACAAAGGGGAGGGGGAATCTCAAACATTTTTTCCCTTTTTAGTGTTGGAAGGCAAATGTTAAGTTTTATTGTTTTAGCAAATTTAGTGGCCAGTTATCTATTACTAACATATGAGGCACCTTTCAGCCTAAGGAAAAGTTTCACAACGTACCGTATATCATCACCAGGTCCCCAGTATCATCATAAGCACATCTTGCTGAGTTCAATGGGACCTACTCCTCAGTAAGTGGGATTAAGGGTTGGGCTGCAGCCTTAGCAAGATGTCTCCCTGTTGGAGATTTGATAATCTACTGTATTGTGCTGCTAAGTATGGAACAAAGGTGCCAGCATGTTTGAAGATCAGCTTCTGTGACAGAAGGGAAAGGTGTCTGCTTGGCTGGGATTAAAACATAACAACAACCCTAAAAACAAAGTAATTTCGTGAGCACAAGATGAGAATGGGAAGACACTCCAGAAAGTTAAGGGCAGGGAGTCACAAGGCACAAGATAGCTGAAGAGGGGAAAGTGACTATCATAATGGACTGAGAAACCTGTACCAAGATCAGGAGCTTTGGGCAAAAAAAATATTGGCCTTATGAACTAACAGGATGTCATCTGGTCTTAGATAACAACTGACTTTGGCTTGGCTCCTAAAGCTGTTCAGAGACTGCTAGAATCTCAGTCTGGTGGTAGAAGTCCTGACTCGTTCTCTTCTGTTCTGATTTCTGAGCTATTACCCATCATTGTAAATACCGTATTTTTTGCACCATAACACTCACTTTTTTCCTCCTAAAAAGTAAGGGGAAATGTCTGTGCGTGTTATGGAGGGAATGCCTACGGGTGGCATGCCTACGGATTTTCCTCCTCTAAAAACTACGTGCGTGTTATGGTCAAGTGCGTGTTATAGAGCGAAAAATACGGTACTTTTTTCAAACTTTCCTTCACCCTCAAGAGGACTAGAAAACTTTTTTTTTTAGTGATTCATCGTGCCTAAGATACCCTAGCTCACTTAAGCAACAGAACACACGCAGTCCGAGAAACAAAGAAAATGATTTTTAAAGCAACAGTTAATTTGGCTTTGTACAGCAGTGTTAACATTTGCACTGTTGTTCAACAGATTTCTCAGAACTCATCTTGTGTACTCCCTCTAGTGCCAGAAAATTTAAAAAAGGAATCATTAAGTCAGTTCTATACATATCTAATTTCAGTTATATTTTTTAAAAAAGCAACAACACACAAATACTGATTGCTCCTACAGACAAATATAGGTATCTGTAAAATATCAAAATTACAATCTCAATAATAAAGTTACAAAACAATAAAAAGGAAGTAATGCACGGGTGGAGGGAAGACACAGGGCAAGAAATAAGAATTGGATAAATGTTGGTACATAATGAAATGTGAAAATGTGAATTTATGGATATAATGGTATATGTATCAATATGTAAAGATTTCATATATGTATTGCAACATTAATAATAAATAAACTAATGAAACTACGGGAGAGAAAGATATCTGTAAAATATATGCCGTACCACACTGCCTGAAGGTGATCTCAGAAATAGCTGCTATGGTTTGTTTACTGAATTGAATTTCTTTGTCTTGTGAAACTTCTTCACAAAGGCCAGCGACCGTATAATGGCATGCAGCCTTCAACCTCTGGTGAAAAACAAAACAGAAAACTTGCACTTCATATACTTACACACTGACCCACCTAGGCATTACACGAGGCCTGTGCAACACACAGGAATTACACACTGTGGCCTGACACCTGTTTGAAAAACCTCATTTTTTGCAATCACAAAAAGCAGGCAGCAAAGGATAGTTTACCGGTAAATGGAACTATATTTGGTGGGAGGGTCGGATAAACTGTGCACGTCTGAACAACACAATTGCTTTGAGATAATTAAGACTATCTCACTGGAATCATGACTGAAAGGGCATCATAAAATAATTGATTTTTAAGGATATTGTCGTTTTGCACCCCCTTGCGCCCCACCCACTCCCAGAGAAAACCCCCAGATCTCTCAAATACTATCCTACCAGGGGAACAGTTTATCCTATGAATTTGTTTTCTTAAAATTACGAGCGGTGGTTGGAGGGAATCCACATAACATAACCAGAACAGCTTTAAACATCGCAAATGCAAAACGAAAAACAACAGGACTCTAGCGTTCTCGCTCACACGCATTTTAAACAATGGCACAGCACTCTACACATGCCCCGGGGCACCCTCTCTCTTCCCTGAGGCTGGAGAAGCTACGCGCTGCAACGAGCGCAGGGCCCCGCTGCCTCCCTCTCCCTGGCAAGGCAACGGCGCTCTGCACACGCTCTGGAACACGCGGTGCGCTTCCATTGCTAGGGAGAGGGAGGTCGCGCGGAGGGGGCCGACCCGCAGCGCCCCGCACCCCATACCTGGGTGTCTGAGAGGCGACCAACGGCCTCCGCCGCCTCCATGGCAGCCCCTTTCTGAAGGCGGCGAAGAGCGAAGATGGCGCTCGAATTTCCCGCCCAGCCCCGCCTCCTCGCGCGCTCGGGGCGGTAATGGCGGCGGAGGCTCTGAGGTAAAAAAAACAAGAGCTGGGGCAGGGGGCGGGTCATCGTCGGGCGGCAGGGAGGAACCTGTCATGGCGAGAGAAAGGGGCGGATAGGGTGGTTGTGAGGAAGGGCCACATGGCTGTTGGGCGCGGGACTCGGTGCGCTGAGGGGGACTTTTCTGCCCCAAAGCGCTGGGATAGGATTGGGGCTGGGCTGTGGGTCACATATTTTATTTAGCGAAATTTTATGACGACGGGCCTACCCAGCTGTTTACAATGTTCTTGAGTGGCCAGCCACCTTAATTTAATTTAATTAACGAACTGCTTAATTGTAGTAAAACCTCTAAGCGGTTTGTCCTTGTTCTGTTTTTAGCGGGGGTGGGATTTAAATGCTTTTATATTGCTGTGTATATCGGCCTGATATTCTGTGAGGGGGGTAATTTTTTATAAGTGAAAATAAATAATGGTACTTTTACAATTGAAAATAAATAAAATGGATGTTCATTTATCCATCCCATGTATATCCCTCCCAAAGGAAGTCAGGGAGGCAAACCCATCATTGGCAAGTTGCATTCACTCAGCCAATCAAAACCAAAATAGATAAACTCTTAGTAAAATAACTCAAGACTTTTATGGAGAAGTAGGCAGAATATAATTTATTGAGGGATAGATAAAAACAACACTGCACCAGAATTAAAATTGGATGTCTGGGTAGATTTGTGGTGATTGCAGGTGCCAGTCATGGGGTGTTTTTTTTTAGCCCCTTCCCATTTTGCATAAAGGTTAACAAAAGTTTTCAATAGAAAGGAAGAAATTAAAACCACCCTACAAAACACACAGAATCCATTTAAACTGCATCATTATCCATGAACTCTCAAGCCTACAATTTCCATTCTTTCAAAAACTATAATAGCAATAGATGTATCTACTTGAGTCTTTTGCTTAATGGCCTTATACTCTTTTTGAAAGACTTTGCAAGACATTGTGCAAATGGGTCTCTGAAAGTCTCCAAACTACGAGTTTTAAGATCCATATCTGATCCTCACCGAAGCATGATCACATGCAGAATTTGCTAAATTTGTTCAAGCTATTCCTTCAACCTGCCCCCCACCAAGCAATTTCAGCTTTCACTACTATCTGAGTAATATATATAACTAATATATTTGTTTGTGAAATATGTATTTCATTAGCATTCTTGCAAGGTCATGTGGCGTTCCAATCAGTGAAACAACATAGATTGGCATGTTTGATCCAGATAGCAACTTCATCCTTGTCTCAAAAGTGAATTGGTTGCAAATAAAATTTTTAAACTAGACTGAATCCCAGGTATTTCTATGAAATACCTCAGAAAGCCACTAGATGCCACTAATGATATGTAGTTAAAAAAAAAATATCAAATATCAATTTTTATAATCTATATTCCTACCTCTTCCAAGAGTTTGTCGTTTTCCAATACCTGCACCAGTCCTTCGTCATTATAATCTGCCATATCACACTGATGAAATAATAAACATTATTGTTTGGAAATCAGATCACCACTTATGTTTGGGAAATCATAGCACAAGGGTAGCTAAGACTCAGGGTTATCACCAGACAGGGCAAGGTATCTTGGTATTTCATTGATCTATAGTTCAGGTATGACTGTACCACCACCACTACCAATACTGCCCCAACCAGGGGGGAGGGGAAATGATGGTAACAACAACAATAGGGAGGGCAGAGAAGGGGGTGTTCACCAGTCCATCGATCCAGAGTGGTTTCTGGTTGCTTCGTTTGGCTGTGGTTGTTGCGGGGCTATCACTCTTTGGGGTGAGGATTTAGCTGCGGCTGCTTTGTAGGCTTGCACAGTATTTTTGGCAGATCTGTTCTGCGAGCAATATTTGGTTGTACTGGTTTGCACTGTTGATTCGTTTTGCGATTTCTTCTTTCCCTTTACTGTCGTCCATTCATTCGCTGTTGTTTCGTCATGGTCATTGTCTGATGGGTCTAGCGATTGTCATTCTGGTGGAACCACCTTCTCCCTTAAGAGGACATCTAGTGAGGTCCTTCATTGCATCCTTGAAGCCTCCAACTACCAAGGTTTTTTTCTGCGGCAGCACCAGTAGCCAACAGCAATGGTGAGGGATGTGGATGAGTCAGTGCTGCGTACCAGGATGGAGACTGGGAAGGGCAGTGGACATGGTGCAAATGCCCCACTCTCACTGTCCTTTTATGCAGTTGGAGGGAGGGACAGGTGAGCAGTACAACCCCAACACCATCTGCTATTAGGTGGTACTCCAGCTGCAGAGTTTTCCCTCAGTCTATGTACCTGGTGCCCACTCAGCCATTATGCGCACTGGGTGACCATGGACCAGTCACTGCCTCTCAGTCTAACCTACTTCACAGGGTTGTTGTGGGGATTAAATGAAGAGGAGGAACCACATGCACCTCATTGAGCACCTTGGAGGAAAAGGTGGGATATAAATGCAATAAACCAACAAAATACTTTTACAAGCTTTCAGCGTCAGCTAAAATTGGTTTTTTTATCCCAGGCATATGACCTTAATTTAGTGCGTCTTAACACTTAAATTTTGGAATTTTACTTGGGGTGATTTCATTGTGGCTCTGCTGTGAGGATGGGAAATCCAGGGGTGCTGCACAGCACAAGGGCTTCTGTATTTGTGGACAAAACAGGATCTTGTACATTTATTTAATTACCATCCTTTAAAAAATGGAAAGAGAGAAATTTATTCAAGATGTGATTATAAGGCTTAATTTGATGCAGACATAGATTATGCAACATTCAAAGCAGATCTGTTTGTTAGAGCTGCTAATAATCTTAGACTAAGATGGTTGCTATTGTGTTCAGGTCCTGCTTGCAGGTTCCCTACAGGCGTCTGGTTGGCCACTGAGAGAATAGGATGCTCTACTTTTGGTCTGATCCAGCAGGGCAACTGCTTAAGTTCTTGTTTTTTGTTTTGGAGGCTTGAGATTTTGGTCCTATTATTATTATTATTATTATTATTATTATTATTATTATTATTATTATCATTCCTAGAGGGAACTGGGATGGTGAAATAAAAGTCACAACATTTTCAAAGAAGGATTTAAATGTTTATTTTAGCCCTCCTATAAGACATGATCACAACTTCTTTACAAAAAAAAAATGCCCCAAACGTGACAACTAGAGAAAGTGCTGAAGATACAGAGAATAACCAGCAAGAAGAGGGAATGTTTTAGCTCTACAGTATTTTCCACTTTCAAGTTCAGGCTTCCTTCTAGGCATTGTATGATGAAGAGGAAACAGAGCCTCCATGTCCTGTCCAGTTGGTGTGGATAAATTCGCCTGGTTTTGACAACAGTTCGTAGGTGTGGGCACCAAAATAATCTCGTTGAGCCTTTGAGAAATTGCATATACATGGTTAGTGATATAGGTTGCCAAAGTAACACAGTCAACTTTCAGTTGTTGCTAAATTCAAAGGAGGCACACTGAGGGTTGCAGCCCATGTTAGTAATACTCCGAGTAAACTGACTGAAATTAATTGATGTGACTAACTTAGTCCCATTAATGTCAATGGATCTACTTCGAGTAGAATTTAGTTGGGGACATCTAAGAGGTCAAACCCATTGCCTCTACAGTAGAGTCTCCATCAGTGTCGGTAAAACTAAAGAGGATCCTTTCGGTTCAGGGATGGAGAACCTGGAGCTCTCTAGATGTTTGCTGGACTACAACTCCCATCATCCCTGGCTGGGGGTGGTAAAAGATGGAGTCCAACAACAGCTGGAGAGCCGCAGGTTCCCCTTGCAGAGGGAAAACAGGTAAAAATACTGCTGGAAGCTGCAGCCTGTATGGCACTTCCAATCTAAAACAGGCAATGAGGAAACTCGACAAAAGGGAAGGAGAGGAAAAGATGAAGGTAGGGATGATCATGGGCAAATGCAGCTACATATGCTTAAAACATGGGTCCTCTGAGGAATCGAAATTAAGGGGGTTACCCCGAAGGCCACAATAAAATGATGGATTTTAAGGAAGGCCAGGAGAGAGGTGGCACCACAAATTGTGCTGGATACAGAGACATCAGGTGGGCATTACCTTTGGCCTCTGTGAGAACAGAATGTCAGACTAGATGGGCCCTTTGGCCTGATCCAGCAGCCAGGCTCTCCTTATGTTAACTAGGGAAATGAGCAAAAGATCTGAACAAAGCAAAAAAGGTTGGAGAAGTTTCAGTTCCACACATGCCAAAGCTGTTTTCAGACTGGCTTACCTGAATTAGGTTGGCTGGCAGAGTGTCATGCCTGTACCCATCATAGAAAGAAAGTGCAGTGGTGAAGCACGGCATTGGGATGCCAATTTGGACACCAGTGCTGATGGCACGTCGCCACGATTCCTAAGGGAGGAATGATGCAAAAGTAGTAGTAGTAGTTACCTTCTTAAAAGTTGTATTCGGCCAATGACCCTTCCTCCGCTGGAAACAGGGTTGTCTCCACCGCTGTCCTTGGGCAAGTGGGACAAAGTTTCCCCTTGCACAATGGGACTTTGCCACCCTCTCCTTCCCAGCCCCCCACCTCTGCACACCCTCAAAATCTGCTCCCAAGGGATGGACAACAGACAGCCATTCTGAGGCTGTGGTGTATGTGAAGCTGTTCATAGCAATGCAAAATTCAGTACTTTATCTCTTAACATACATACATACATACATACATACATACATACATACTGCACTTAAAAATGGTCAGGTACTTTCTAAAGCCGCATTCTCCTGGAGCATTTAAAGCACTGCCATACCACTTCAGACAATTCTGGAAGCTGTAAGGTACTGAGAGTTGTTAGGAGAGACCCCACTTCACCTCACAGAGCTGGGTTCTCCGAGTTGCTCCACAATCAGCCCCTCTTCAGGGAACTCTGGGAATTAACTCTCAGCACCCTTAAACTACAGCTCCCATAATTTATTTATTTGGGGGGGGCATGATTGTTTAAAGTGGTATAGTGATTTCTTAAAAATATAAGCAGTATACAAATTAAATTAATAATAATAATTTAAATATATGGTGTGTGTATGTGGCCTCTTCTTCCTGAAGTTACCTGGCAATTCTCTACCGCCGTCTTGAAAAAGTTGTCCAACAGTAGGTTCTGGAGATCAGGGCTTCGATCAAAAGCTTCTTTGATTTTCCCAAGGAACACACTATGCAGAAGACATGCAAAAGCAGTTAGTAGGATTTCTTGAAATCAGTGAGGTAAATAGCCAGGAACCCAAAAACATATGTGGACCAACATATTGTAACCAAGGGCAGGGATAACCAATGATGCTGTTGGACTCCAATTTTCATAAGCCCCAGCTAGCATGGCTAATAGTCAATTCCCAGAAGAATTAGCAATCTCTCTTCACAGGCAAGTCTGGGAATTGTAGCTCTGAGAGGGGAGTAAGGGGTCTCCCAGCACCCTTAACAGACTACAGCTCCCATAATTCTTTGGGGGAAGCAGTTTAAAGTGATATCATCGTGCTTTAACTGTATGCTGCAGATGGGGTCTGTGTCTACAAATATGTCACCCAGGGAAGAGTGCTAAAAAAGTGTTGTTATTTTTTTAAAGAAAAGGTCATCTGATCCTAAAATCAGCTGGGACCACACCATGCCCATTTTAGAGATTGAGCAACTGATCCACAAAATGAGAAGTTGCAGGCAGAAGCCCTTTCATTTCCTCTGCTGTGTCTCAATGGGAGAAACTTCCTCAAACTCAGAGCATAAGAAGTGGGAACAAATAATTACAAAAGGAGAGACAGAGGAAAGTAGAGGCAGAAGCACTCTTAACAAGCTATCGTTCCCAGAATTCTTTGGAGAATCCATGACTGTTTGAAGCGGTACAATTCTGCTGTAAATGTAGAGTGTAGGTGCAGCCTCAGTTAGAATCTCAACTTTTCTATTCAGTTGGTCTGAGCTCCAAACAAAGAGGATCATCTCCGTGTCAATCGACAGCCCCTGCTCCTATCATATCCTATCCGTCTTGCTTACCTTCGGATGATGCATCCTCCCCGCCACATCAGGGCGATGGCACCATAATTCAGCGTCCAGCCAAACTCTTTTGCCGCTTGCCTCAGCAACATGAAGCCTTGTGTGTAGGAAATAATCTTTGAAGCATACAGGGCCTACAAGGGAGCCAAGGGACAGTGTCAAGATTTAGAAAGAAGCTTTCAAGCTAGGGGCTGGCTCCAGAGGGTGGCAAAGTCACCCATTTGCTGAGCCACCAGAGACTGAGAAAGGACCCCATCAATCCAAAGAGTGTTGCCCATCGTCATGGATCACGTTAGGTCAGAGTTAGTGTGAGGGAATGATTGGTTTGCACACCCCACCACCCATTCCAGATTAAAGGAACCCACTGAGCATGTCTTGAGTGAGGAAGCCTAGAAAGCTTGGACCGCTGATACAATCTCTACAACAATCTGGACCTCAGACAATGGAGGTTCTTGCTGGAGACTTTAATGCAGAATGATGCATCTTCCCCACACATAGGATAGTGAATCTCCAGAATTTTGTTGGACTACGACTCCCACCACACCAACCGCTGGCCATGTTGGGTGGGGGCTGATGGGAGTTGAAGTTTGACAACACCCGGAGGGCCACAAGGCTAGCCCTCCTTGGCCTAACAACTCACTTTGCGGATGTCCTCCAGAAACGCCGCCTTATTCCCGCTAAACTTAGCTGCGTTGGGTCCACTCAACAGCTTGCTAGCTTTCACTCTTTCGTCCTTGAGCGAAGACAGGCACCGAGCAAAGACAGCCTCCCCTTTGGAGAAAGAAAAATCAAACACCATGGATGGCTAAACTGAAGCAATGGCAAACAGGACCACAGTACTGTGTGTACACAGGAGACTGCTTTCTGAAACAACTCAAATTATCTTCACTAAAAAACTACTGGGTATCATGTAACTGGAGGCAGGACATAAAACTCACCCATTTGGGGCTTTCCCCCAAAGAATCCTGGGAACTGTAGTCTGTTAAGGATGCTGAGAGGTTTTAGGGGAACCGCTTTTCCTCACAGTTTCCTGGAAAGAGGGACTGATTTTTAAACCACTGGGAATTACTGCTCTGTGAGGAGAATAAGGGTCTCCTAACAACTTTCAGCACCCAAAACAAACTACAGTTCCCAGGATTCTTTGGTTGGGGAAAGGGAAAGAAGCCACAACTGATTAAACCAGTACCATGGTGCTTTAAATGCATGGAGTCAAGGTGGCCTAAATGGCAGTTACTTCAGATTAAGCACGCATAGCATTGTGCTGTAAGCAACCCCACCCCACAAAACAAACTACAATTCTAGATATCAACAGTAAACTCTGAGTGCCAATCCTTATGCATACAAAGAGAACACAAACAAACACACAAATGGGGACTGTATCATCTGGCTTGGAGAAACCCCAAGTTTTGCAGTGGTACAAGAAATTTTTTTTATTAAAAAACAACAACCCCTGAGAACAGAGTATATTCAACAGGAACATAACACTCATTGAGTGCTACAGGGGATTATTATTACTATTATAAAAAATATTTTATCAGTCACTTTACTCACAAAAACTGACCCAAAGTGACTTTGGGACCTAACTGAGTAGTGCAGATAAAGACATGAGTGGCTTGTGGTAACCGGGAATGGAAGCAATTGCCCCACTTGTAAGGACTGACTGCCTGAAAGGCGTGGGCAGAGAGAGTGCAAACACACAAGGTGAAAAGGTTCTTCAGATTTCCTGTGAGTGACTCATACTCTCACTGCCGCAGGTACACTGTGGTGCCTCTACACTCTTGCAGTTGCAAAGGTAGCCCCTCCTCTCCCCCCACTTTCTTAGCCAACCAACATCCTTTTGCATTGTGAAGGGATGAGTCAGCTGCTTTAGAGCAGGAAATTGCAAGTCATGCTGATGTAGGAAGGAAACAGAAGGGGAGGGAGAAAGAAAAGCAAACCCAATCCATTAGCAATTCACCTGGCAACCCTAGGAGCCAAGACTTGAACCCTATGTGGAGGAGGTTTGATATTTAAAAGAGGGGAGAAATGCAGAACACAGTAGGAAGGGTGTGCTAAAGAAGAATGGCAGAGTTGATAACTCAGTGGTAGAGAAGGTAGAGAAGATGCATTGCACACACAAGGGTTCCTGGTTCAGTCCTCAGGATCTCCACTTTAAAAGGAGCTTATTTTGGAAAACTGTGAAGGATCCTTGCCCAAAAATGTAGAGAACCATCGCCAGTCAGAGCAGGAACATAGGAAGATGCCTTATACTGAATCAGACCCTTGCTCCAGCTAGCTCAGTACTGTCAAGACAGATGGGCAATGGCTCTTCAGGGTTTCAGACAGGAGATATTCCCAGCCCTACCTGGAGATGCTCTACCACTGAACTATGGCACTTTGCCAGCCGTGAAAACAGCACAGAAGTGTGGATGATATTTTGAGTTTGGAGGATCCTGAGCTCACACAGCAAACTTACTGGTCGTCAGGCATAAAACCAGTGCGGTGTAGTGGCTAGTGTCAGGTCTTGGAGACCAGAGTTCAAATCCCCACTCAGTTCACTGGGTGACCTTGGACCAGTCACCATCTCTCAGGCTAACCTACCTCACAGGGTTGTTGTTGAGGGTAAAACGGAGAAGAGGAGAGAAACATGAATGCCACCTTGAATTCCGTTGACGAAAGGTAGCACAGAAATCTAAATAACAACAACAAACTCTTGGGTGCCTCAACTCAGGTCTTTCAAGTAAACAAGGACTGCACCACATATCTCTGGGGCCCCTGCCCCTCCCATCATTGCCACATTTTAGTGCAAATCTATGTCAAAGTTATTTACCAATTAGAGTGACGGGGACCCCGTACTCTAAAGCTGAGATAGCCGTCCACTTCCCTGTTCCCTTTTGCCCAGCACTGTCCCGGATCTTTGGGAGCAAATGCTTCCCATCAGCATCACGATACTTCAATATGTTTGCTGTGATTTCAATCAAGAAGGAGTCCAGTTCAGTCTTATTCCACTGCTCAAACACCTAGGGGCAAGGGAGACAAGGAGCAGAGAGATCAACAACCCCCTCCCTGAGACTGCAAGACTTTTTTTTAGGATATAGAGTGCTCTGTGCTCTATAAACCTAATGCATTTGCTCCTAAGAAAATAGGAAGATGCCTTTGTGGCTCTGTTGTACACCTCCACTGTTAGGGACTTCCCCTGCATGCAAAGACAGGTTCTGGTGGATTAAGCGGATGATTGTGGGTCCTGCGGTCAAGAAGGCAGTTTCTGCTGTAGAGGTAAACCTTTGGCTCTTCATATGTTGATGGGCTACAACTCCCATCAGTCGCAAGTCAGTCTAAGTCAGAGATGGGGAATTCCAGATATTGGCGGACTCCCATCAGCCTCAAGCAGCATGGCCAATGGTCAAGGATGCAGTCTGACAACATATGGAAGGCCCACAAGTATCCCATCCCACAGCTAAAGGCTCCTGGGAACTCCATCTAGAAAAGAAGGCTCCCTGCTGTGTCTCTGTGTAAGTGCCTGTTCTGGCTTTTATTTAGACTTATTAAAACAGGGTCTTCACCCATCAGATTCAAGAAACTGGTTTGTCTTGTGGGCTCACCGTGGCCATCTCGTCATGGTCCATGCCTAGCACATCCTTCATGAGGTGGTAGGCTTCGCAGATCAGCTGCATGTCTCCATACTCAATCCCATTGTGCACCATCTTTACAAAGTGCCCAGACCCCTCGTCTCCCACCTGCCAGAGTCATAAGAGAGAAGAATAAAATGAATTATTATTATTAAGATTTATATACTGCTCTTCATGACAATATCTCAGAGCGGTTCACAAGGTAAAAAGACAAGTAAATAGTTAAAACAAAACCAACAAAACAATAACCTCCTTCCCACAAACACATATAAAAGACTTTAGAATATTAATCAGCCTTATAAAACCAAAAAAATACAAATACAAAATACATGTAACACAGAATAATTTATAACAACCCCACCTCCACAATAAATAAGTTAAAATCCCATTCCCATTAAAAGCATAATTTTAGCACCAGGAGGCTGGGCCACACCCGCATTCTACCCCCAAAGTACAGCCCGTCAACATTGGAAAGGGTCTGCCTTCTCCCCTTCCTCTTGATGGGGAAGGTGAGGGGCTGGAGAAGCTAGTAGCCTTCCAAAAACAATTCACAAAGAGGGGCATCAGCTTGAAGAGTATCTCTAGGAGCATGCAGAGTGCATCATAAACATGTCAGCTCATCTTACCCAGTCGCAACAGGGTTCCCCAGTTCCTACTTTGGCAGCGATGCTCTGAAATATTGGTTTGATGTGAGGCCTGCAAAGAACCAAAAGGATGTTTGAAAAACAAAGCAAAGGCAACAGAAAGGACATCATCATGATTGGTTCACTGTCCTGACCATAACAGAGGCTAGGAGGGCAGAGACGTGAGGTAGGGCATTATCAGTAGTGGCTCCCTACCTCTGAATCCCCCTTCCAAGTGATATTTGGTCTGCCCCTACTACAGAAGCATTTAAGAAACAAGTTCACTTGGCCAGGTGTTTGGATAAGGAAATAATTATTTTGGGGGGTGCAGTCCCTACAGATACCATTGCTGCTGTTTACTGTATCTCATCTGAGTCTGTGTTTTTAAAAATTATGTTTTATTGGCATCTACTATTTTATTGACTGCCCCAGGCAGGAGAAAGGATAAGACTGAAAAATGGTAAATGAGTAAACAAAAATAAAAATGAAACATACATTTACTGCTTTGGTCCCTTCACAACTCAATCTGAGGAGGACCCAGCTGAGAGAACATGCATTTTTCAGCAGTGACTCCATGTCTGTGGAATGCTCTTCCCAAGGAAACACACCTGGCACCATCATTGTCAAACTTTAGGCCAAGACATTAATGTTTGCCCAGCCTTTCAGTTGTTATGTTTGGATCATACCTTGCTGCGGTTTTTATTTTTATTGAGTGGGAAAGGATTTGTCCTTTTTTGCTGTTGAAGATGGAAAGCTGCCTTATACTGAGTCAGTCAGACAACTGGTCCATCTAGTTCATTATCATCTACACTGTCTGGCAGCTGCTCTCCAGGGCTTTCAGGCAGGGAGTTTCTCCCAGACCTACCTGGAGATGCTGATGGGGACTGAACCTGGCACCTTCTGCATGCCAAGCAGGTGCTCTAGCACTGCTTCCGAAGTGATTTACAATGCAATAAAAACCATACACAGAACAATTAATTGCATATGTAAAAGCAGCTAAAACATTTGCTATATTTTAAAAAATGGGAAAGCAATATATGTGAATTTATATATGGAGTGGAGCAGGATTTGTCCTATGATGTTATTGCAGGATGAGCACTTTGGGTCAATTAATGCTCTTTTTTCTTTTTTCTTTTTGCTGTATTCTGGATTTTGTATCATGTACACTTTCATAATTGTAAATAGCCTTGAGAAACCTATGCATTAAGCAACAAATAAATGCATTAAATCATTCTCGTCATCACTTACCATGCCTCTTTGGCTCCTCCTGGCATGAGTGAAGGGCCGTACCTGGCGCCCTCTTCGCCGCCGCTAACCCCGCTCCCAACAAACAAGATTCCCTTCTCCTTGAGCTCCTTGCAACGCCTCTGGATAGGAAAAGAAGGGAGACTCGTTGCTCGGAAAATAGGATTATGGGGGCAAAAGCACTGCATTCTCTACTTAGGGCAACGTATATCTCACAAAAGAGAAAGAAAATAAATCTGACTCCTGTACCAGTTAAGAGCTACATAACCATTTGAAACTTAAAATTCTGCACAGAGTAAAATTTCCTTTGCATCTGGTTTAACAGACGTTGGTGGGCTTTAGAGCATGGAGGTAAATAATCCCTGGATGGTTAAGACCAGTCAAAGGCAACTATGGACTCATCTCACTTTCAGGCCGAGAGAGCCGGCATTTGTCTACAGACAGCTTTTCAGGTCATGTAGCCAGTGTGACTAAACAGCTTTTGGAACACAACGGAACACCTTGCTCAAAACTTCCAATCCTTGTACAAAACTCATTGATGAGCCTTTGGGCAAAATTGAGAGGCGGGATATAAAAAGCTGCAGTTTTATAAAATACTAGGGGCTGCACCCCTACTTACTTTGCTCACCAATCCCGCCCTTCTCAAAGCCACCTGCTGGTTGCACAAAAAACTGCAGCGTGACAACATCCTTAGGAAAATATGTATTAGGAGAGAAATGTCTTGCAAACAAATCCTAACCAACCAACCAACCCCACAGGTCTGTTAGTGAAGATAAAGTTAGCTCCCACATATCCTCTTGAGCTCCTTGGAGTATACAAGTATGATACAAATGGGCACCATACATACTGTGCTATCTCTATACTCAGAATTCCCTCCATCAATAATGATGTCTCCGGCACTCAGCAGTGGCACCTGTAAAGGAAAGAGACAGTGTCACATCAGAAGAGGTCAGCAGAGTAATGGCCTATCCAATCCAGCTAATCAAATGCCTTTGGGAAGCCCATAAAAAGGGCACACTGGCAGCAGCCCTTCCCCACTATTCTTCCCCAATGACTGGTACCAAGAGAGGTTTTCTCTGAATCTAGTGGCAGGTGTCCATCTGCAGAGAGTTGCTGGATCAGACCAAAAAGCCTATCTAATCCAGTGGAACATCTCCTGGGAGGGCTATGAGACATCCTCAAATGAGACCCTGGAGTTAGTGCAGAAAATAGTGAGCTAGATGGACTAGTGGTCTGACTCAGTATAAGGCAGCTTCATAGGGCCAAAGCTCAGTGGTAAAGCATCTGCTTTGTATGTAGAAGGTCTCTGGTTCAATCCCCAATGGCATCTTCACGTAGGACTGGGGAAGACCCCTGCCTGAAATCTTAGAAAGCTGCTGCCAGTGAGAGGTTGGCAGTATTGAGCTAGATGAACCAATGGTTTGATTAGGTATGAGGCAGCTGCTTATGTTTCCTTCTTCAACTAAAATATTACTGAATTTTAGAGCAGGAAGTGTCTGTGTCTTGGAAACAGTGTTAGAAACTCAGAAATATAAGCTAGGCATCAAATGGCTCCTTAAGCCAAGGTTATAGTTGCCAAAATGGAATGTCTAGCTGCTTTTGGAGGGCAAGATGGCTCTAAAGTCTTATTTTTCAAATGACGGACTGACTGTGATTGATTCTCAGTTAAACATCTGGCTAGTTCAGGTAACAACTTTGAGCTAGGTTAAGAGTTTTGAGGACAAAGAAGAAGAGTCACTTAATCCACGTATACACTATTCCGACTTTGTTTTCTTAATGGTGACTGCTCCTGTTCGGGCTGCACAGAAAAAGCATTTATCATCCAGAAATTCATTCTGATTGTGCAGATAAAATATAACTGATAACTTACCATGAGAAACATAGTAAGCTGGCTTAATATTATCTATATTGACTGGCAGTGGCTTTCCAGGATTTTCCACAGGGAGCCTCTCCCAGCCCCATCTGGAGATGCCAGGGATTGAACCTGAGACCTTCCACATGCAAAGCAGGAGCTCTGCCACTGAGCCCCAGCCCTTCCCCACAGGGAGGAAAGGTTCAGCCAGCCCTAGCGTTGGCCAATCCATAGAATTCTGGAAGGTGGCATAAAGGGGCATCATTTATAAAAGAAGAAGCAGTTGGTCAAGGATGGGAGGAAGAGATCTGCTCACCAGCTTGTTGATGAAGTCATCCACAGCACTCCCAGCCTTGACAAGCAGGATGATCTTCCGGGGTTTCTTCAGCTTGGAGACCATTTCTTCCAAAGAGTGGGCCCCAATGACTTTAGTGCCCTTGGCTTCATTTGCCAGGAAATCATCCACTTTGGATACCGTTCGATTAAATGCACAGACCTAGGAGAGGGTAAGAGAGAGGGATTGCACTGGGAGACAGTAGAGCTGATGCCTTTTCTGAAATGCATCCCCCCCCTATACCTGGTTTTCTAATGGGTTTGTGCCAGGGACTAGGAAGTTATTTTCAGACTCTAAGAAGCAAAAGGACAAGACATCTGCATGTTCATTTTCATTATTTCCCCCCATTTAACCAGAAAAATGAAAGGCTTGGTTGGAATGGATTTAACCTGGTGTACAGGTCTTTAAAAAAACCAACCTTTCAATGTATACAGGTTTAGCCAGCTTCTCACACACACACCAGCACTTCCTGCTGAGCAATTATCTGCAGAGATTGCTCAAAACAGTAAGCCAATCTATATTCTGTCATTTAAGGTACTCAAACAAATAAGAAAACAGGGAAAGACAAGGCCTCCCACTAAATCAGGGACCTCCGGATGTTGCTGGACTCCATCTCCCATCAGTCCTAGTCTAGCATGACCAATTCTTGGGGGTGATGGCAGCTGCATTCCAGCAGCACCTGGTTTGCCAAAAGTTCCTTGCCTCTACCCTAAATCCCCTTCCTTGCCTTCTTGTTTCAAACTTTTCTTATCTCACATTCATACATTTCTTATCACCAGCAGATTTACTATATAGCCAACGGGTATAATTAATTAATTATATTTATATTCTGCCCTTCCTCCTAAAGGAGCCCAGGGTAGCAAACCCACAAACTATAAAGCAATAAAAACATCTACACTGCAGATGCAGACTAGGAAAGATTTCTACTTAATTAGAAGAGGAAGGTCTTTAGCAGGTGCTGAAAACACCACAGAGACAGTGCCTGTCTGATATTCAATGGGAGGGAATTCCAAAAGGCAGGGGCCACCACACTAAAGGCCCAGCCCCAACACTGTGCAGAATGGGTCTCTCTCTTGATAAGATGATCTGTTGGGTATATAAAGGGCGAGAAGATTTATCAGGTATCCTGGTCCCAGGCTGCATAGGGATTTATACACCAAAATCTAGAACTTAGCCCAGTAAGTAGCTAATATGCCATGGATGACTGATTTGGGAGATTTTTATCCTGCCTTTCTGTTCCAATAAGCTGGGAAATCCAACCATCACAGATGAACACAGCTGTAATATAGAAACATCTGGAGGACCAAAGGACCCCCACCCCTGTCTTCAAGCTTCTGCCCTAAGATCTCCCTTCTGCATTCTATACAGTACCTAGCAGAGAGAGCAAGAGAGTCTGTGATAAATAATTGCATAGCATTTAAAACTTCACACCGGGCATTTCCACTCACCACGAAGCCGTGGTCGTTCATGTTGAGGATGAGGTTCTGGCCCATGACGGCCAGTCCAATCAAGGCGATGTCTGCTCTGAAAAAGGGGAAGAACAGACATGGATGCTTACACTTCCCAGAATGGTTTAACAATCCATCCCTCTTTGCAGGATTCTTTGGGGGAAGCCATGGCTGTTTAAAGTGGTATGATGCTGCTTTAAATGTACAGCGCAGGTGGGGCCTGTGACACCCAGGCAAGGGTGCCAAGGAACAGAGACGGTTGCAGTTTAAAAACCCAGGCTGTGTTTCTGATCCATGCCTTGCACCAGCCAGGACTGTGTTGTGTCAATTCTAGAGATTGAGCAACTAGATCTAGAAAATGAGAAGTTACACGCTTCTAGAAGCCCTTTCATTTCCTAGCTGTGCCTCAACAATATGAGAGAGACTTCCTCAAACCCAGAGGGATTATATGAGAAAGGAAGAAGAAATCATTATGGAAGAAAAGCAGAGACAAATGGAGGTAGAAGCATAGGAACTTAGAAGGCTGCTTTAGCAGAGTCAGATCCTTGTTCCATCTAACACAGGACTGTCTACAGTACACTGACAGACAGCAGCTCTCCAGGGTCTCAGATTGCAGCCTTTGTCAACCCAACCTGGAGATGCAAAGGGTTGAACCATGGACTTTCTGCATGTAAAGCAGATGATCTACCACTGAGCTATCACCCTTCCCCAGAGTGGATTTGTAGTCCCAGGAACCAGCAACAGCTACAATAATAAAACGTCAGGGATTAAATCCTGAGCTTGGCCCAACTTGCACAACACACCTGTGGAGTCTTTCCCATGGAATTAAGCCAGCCAAGTGTTACCAAAACTGGGCACCCCTCTGGCAACTCTCTCCACACCCACACCACCCCCTCTGCCTTGGGCAATGTCTCTTTGTTTCTCTTTACATCTTCTTAAGCCTTGTCCAAACAATTAGCAAAGGAGCAGTCCTCTGTGTTTGGGCTGTACCACTTCGGATGGGGGGGAGCCCTCATGCCTGAAAGCTACAGTATGTGCAAGCGCTCACTTTGAATCCCTGTAAGTTCAAAACTAGAAAGTCCAGAAGGAAAAGTCAGGCCTAGAAACAGCTCATACAGGACTAAGCATTGATGACAATGACCAGAGGCTGCATTCAACATTAGTCCTCCTCAGAGTAGACACCACTGGAATTAATGATTTCAATGGGTCTACTGGGAGAAGACTTAGCTGGAGACAATGCCAGGAGCTGTGAAGTATGGATGGTCAGGTGGAAAAAAATTTAAACATGTGATTCTGCCCAAGTCACACCACTCACTGGCCTTCTGCACCCTCCTTCCCAGTGATGTTCTTGAACTGGGATATCATCTGATTGCCAGAACAGAGAATGGTGAGGTAGGTGAGTGGGCGGGTGGCCCCATGCATCACGGGTTTGTGGGCCTCAGAAGGAAATGTGGCTCTTGGGCCAATGAAGGTTCTTCACCCCTGCATTAACTCATTGCAATCCTTGCAATAATCCTGCACAACCTGTTCTTATACAAATCTATGGAGAAGCCACACATTGTGGAATACTGTGCACAGCACCGCTCTGGTCACCTCACCTCAGAAAGGACTTTGTAAAAGGTTCAGACAAGGGCAAGCAAAATGATCAAGGGGATGGAGCAACTCCCCTATGAGGAAAGGTTACAACATTTGGGGCTTTTCAGTTTAGAGAAGAGTAAGAAGGAACACAAAAGAGGCGTATAAAATTGTGCAAGGTGTGGAGAAAGCGGACAGAGGACATTTTTCTCTCTCCCTCTCATAGCACTAGAACTAGAGACTGAATGTTGGAAGATTCAGCACAGACAAAAGAATGGACTTTTTTACACAGCACATGGTTAAACTTTGGAACTTGCTCCCACAGGAGGCAGGGATGGCCAACAACCTAGATGGCTTTAGAAGAGAATTTCAGAATCACACAAAGGAGAAGGATATCACAAATTCTGTGTCCACTGCTGGGAGTCAGTATGCCTCTGATTACCAGTTGTTGAGGCTCACAAGTGAGAAGAGTTGCTGTTGTACTCAGGTCCTGCTTGCAGGCTTCCTATTGAGGCATCTTATTGGTCACTGGGAGAACAGGATGTTGGATTAAATGGGCCTTTGGCCTGATCCAGCAGTCAGACTTTTCTTATTATGTATTGTTAAAGCATGTGCGACATGCCTCCCCATGCTCTGATCATTTATTTATTTAATTCATTGATTTCATCCCACCAGTTGATCATAGCAAAAGGAAGTTGACTTATGAGGAGTTGGGCAAGTGGTTCATTGAACTGCAGACACTGACCGGCAGTGGCTCTCCAGGGTATCAGGCAGAGAATCCCTCCCATCTCTAAGGGGAGATGCAATAGACTGAGCATGGGACCTTCTGCATGGAAAGTGAGTGCTCTGCCACTGAGCCACAGTCCTTTCCAATTTACACAAAAGATTAACCACAATCAATTTCCATGCAGCTGAGATTAGCCCAGAAGCAAGCACATCCAACTTGAACCCGCCCTGATTTCTAAAGAACGGCTCAAGAGGCTGAAGGTTTTCATTTCTAATGCTCAACCTTAAAAAAAAAAGATAAATCAAGAAAACTGCCTCCTCAACCAATCACCATGGAGCCACAATTAGCAACGATTGAGATTTTTCCCCCTTTTTCTTAAAAAAAACTTTTCCAGATCAGAAGATGATCCCACCCCAGACATAAAGCCCCAGGACCTATTTGTCATGCGAAGGCTCGGTCCTGCAAAACGTGAATCAGTCTGCTGCAGAAAAAATTGGGGTTCACTTTTGCAGCCCAACTCCCCAAGGTACTCTGAGTCACCTAAGTCAATGATCAGTCAGATAAGAATGGATGGAGACAGGAACCAGTGGAGGGAAAGCAAGGAATACCTTTATTTTCCTGCTGCAACAGAGCCCCCCTCCCGCCCCGCAAGGAGGTGAGGACCCGGAGCTAACAAGCCATGGAAATGCACCTGAGCATCTACAGAGTGCTTACCCTCCTCCCCCCTTGGATGAACCCACTGAGCAAAGTTCCCTCCGAGGAAAGCCTGGCAGCACTCCCTTCTCTTGCACGGGAGTAAGCTTCCTGGAACCGAATGAAGCTTCCTGACTGCGACCCTGCTTACTCGGGAGTCAGCCCACCGACCCATCCGCCTCCACTGAGCTCAGCAAGATGCATTTCCGCATCACGGTGTGTTCCGGATTAGGTCTGCTTTACACACGCTAACTTGGAAGGGAGCTTCGCCGAAGTCAGTGGGGTCCATGGCCATTAATTACGGTCTACTCCAGAGTAGCCCGATGAGATTTACTCGCCTAGGAGCAAACCTTCCCCGCCTTGAACTCATCGGTCATTTACTCTTGTGCGTAACTCAGCATTGCCAAACGAGCCCCGCTAACCCTCTCCAAAATGCCCACCCCCCCAATACTTACTGGGCCATGGCGGCGACTCGGGCGGCTTAACTGTAGCTGAGACGAGAAAGGCAGGCGACTGGCGCTCCCAAAGACGCTTCCACTTGGAGCGGAACCGCTTAGGCCAGCCCACCGCAGGGAGGGGCTAGCCCTAGCCCGGCCTAAAGGTCTGCTGATCGGCTCAGGCGGACGGCGAGCATCGCCCTTTAAAGGCACAGGCTTCTGCCTTTCCATCCCTCTGCTGCGGTCGGATGGGAAATTTTTGTTTTCATTCTCTTTTTTTTTGGCAATGGTTCAAAGTCATGCATTCGAGGGATGGGGTAGTTCGCCGGCTCCCTTTCCCACTCTCTCGGGCTGTAAGGGTTTATGCACTCAGCGGGCAAGGCTTCCCATCACTACCATGAATGGCACCATATTTAAATAGACTTGGGCGTATCTGCGATCTTGCCTCTTGCTTGCCAGATGTGTGCAAAGGTAAGCCATGTTCTTACTCCACCTGCTTTTGTCTTTGACCCCATCAGCACTATGCATTCAAAGCTCTGTCATGCCACTTTAAACAGTCATGGCTTTCCCCAAAGTATCCTGGGAACTGTGGTTTGTTAAGGGTGCTGGGAGTTGTGAGGAGACCCTTGTTCCCTTCCCAGAATGACAATTCCCAGTGTATCCTAGGAGGAAGAACTGATTGTTAAACCTCCCTGGGGGCTGGCTCTGGGAGGGGAACAGCAGTCCCCAAACAACAAGCCAGATACCAGGATTCTTTGGGGGAAGCCTTGACTGTTGAAAGTAGTATGGTAGTGCTTTGAAAGTCAGTGCAAATCGGGCCTTTGTGATCTTGCCCAGTGCCCACCAATGTAAAGCCTCCAGAAAGTTCGCTGAAAGGGAATATGGGCTTCAAGCTGAAAAAAGTTCCCCACCTGTCAAAAATATTTGGATGGATTTGTAGTCAAACAAATGCAAAGCAGGTGTCCCACCACAGAGTTATGACTATTACTACAGAAGCAAGTTTCATGCCGTGGAAACAGTATTTTATGGGAGGGGAGAGGGAGAGAAGGGTCTTCATGAATCCCCAACACACCCCACACACCCCTTTTAGCCCTGCAGAATCTTCTAAAAGCAGTAGCAGGAAGTTGAAGAGCTCTGGGCTTCCTGGACCAATCAAAGGCAGCTTCTTCCATTGAACAGCAGATGTTCTGCTGCTGAACCACCAAACACACAAAACACAGCAGCACATGCATGTCATTGCAGGCACATGATTTTATACACACATATGCTCAAGAGTGCCAGAGGCATGTTCACAATGGCAATTTCTGACTTGTGTGGCCTGGTCCCTCTGGCTTTCTCTTCCTTGTTTCTGGAGGTTATGTAACTTAAATCCCTTTGACAAGATCAGACAGTTCCCTGTTTAAAGTTTCCTTGCTGGGTGTTTTCAGAAATTTGACCTAGGGTACTTGCAGGCTACCAGCATGAGTTCTCGAAGCTACCAGCATGCGTTTGACCAAACTGCGGGAGGCAGTGGAAGACAGAAGTGCCTGGTGTGCTCTGGTCCATGGGGTCACGAAGAGTCGGACACGACTAAATGACTAAACAACACCACCACTTGCAGGCAGCCTGTTTATTGAGCATTCATTCTAATCTGTTTGCAGTGAAATTATACGACACTGGCTATTTCATGAGCATTCATTCCAATTTGTTTGCAAGGGGCTTAGATGACCATTGCATCAAAGCAAGTGTTATGCCACGCTCCCTAGCACGTTTCTCCATCACTTTCCTTACCACAGAAAGTCCAGTACAGTGGTACCTCGAGTTAAGAACTTAATTCGTTCTGGAGGTCCGTTCTTAACCTTAAACTGTTCTTAACCTGAAGCACCACTTTAGCTTAAGGGGGCCTCCCACTGCCACGCGATTTCTGTTCTTATCCTGAAGCAAAGTTCTTAACCTGAGGTACTATTTCTGGGTTAGCGGGGTCTGTAACCTGAAGCACCTGTAACCCAAGGTACCACTGTATTTGGGGGAAATGAGCTTGTTGCGCAATACCTCCCCATCAGCTGTAATTGGGTCACCTGGATTTGCCGGTATGTGGTGTAGTGCTTTGTTGGCTTAGGGCCTGGAAGACCAGGGTTACTCAGTGACTTTGGGTCAGTCATAGTCTCTCAGCCTAACTTAATTCACTGACTGTTATGGGAAGTAGGCGAACAGGACCTGAACACAAGCACATTTCCCCATTCTGTGGTTTCCAGCAACTTTGGAGGAGAGCAATAGCCATCAGGAGCCCTCTCCATGAATTTGTCGAATCCTCTTTCAAAGTCACTTGGTTTGGAGACCAACATTGTCTCCTTTAGGAGCGAGTTCCATGGTTTAACTGCACTGTGTTAAGGGTGTAGCTAGCATCCTCACTGCAGCACTTTTCAAGTCCCAAGATGATGAGTGATGGCTAATCATAGCTATTCTTTGTTTCCCCCCTCATATTAATAGCTACAAAAGAAAAGCAGATCAAAACATGTATGGACATTCTCTTTCCCCTTCCCTGAGTTGTTTTTAGTGGTTTCAAAAGTGCACTGCTCTACCAAGTACTAAGTCAGCAGAGGTTAAGAGCTTTTCCAGTTCTACTGGTCCTGAATGCTGGGAGTGAACTTTCTGGTAACAGTTCAGCACTAGGTGAAGATCTCAGGCTGGTGATACCAGATGTATTTTTACTTATTTAAATTAATTCATTTGTTAGATTTCTATTCCATGGTTTCTCCAAGGACCTCAACCTGGTATAGAAAGTTCTTTCCCTCCCCACCCCATCTGATTGGCCACTGTGAGATCAGGATGCTGCCAGACTAGATGAGTCATTGGCCTGACCAGCAGGCTCTGCTTATGTCTTATGGCTATTTAAGGTAGGGCTGGGCAGGCTAGCAGGATGGACTTAGTTTCTTGGTGTAGAGGAGGGGGAATCTGGTGCCCTTTCAGAGTCATTGTGCATTCAAGCCCTGTGAGCCCCCGATAATAAATTGCAGGATACACCTGCAAACAAACAAACAAACAAACAAACAAACAAAACCACCAATTTGGAGGGGCCCAAATAGCCTCTTGCAAGAGGAGGTAAGAAAAGACACATGGAGCTGAAATTTGTTTAATCCACTGGCTTTTTAATCTTTATTTTTTTTTCACCTCGTTCACTAACAGTTCAGTGGTGCAAGGTTACCATACACGGAGTTAGATATTGTTATCTGCATTGCACACCTAAAGGCTATACAGCAAGATGGATCAGAATTAGTACAAATACATGAACTATATTTACATTTTGTATACCCAAGCTCCGAACATCAGATATATTTACAAAATAAAACATGGGAAGGAACAGAAAAAGACAAAACAAAGTCAGTTAATAAAAAAGTACAGTGTTGTGAATGTATTCCTTTCAACCAGGGAAAGACTGATTTTTAATTTAAAAAATGAAAGAGAAGGGGTAAGGGATCGGTTCCAGAAAGTCACCTATGTTGTGCAGATGACTGTGGTTGGTGGAGGGGTGGTCTGTGTTGACAAGGCGCATGTTTGTCTGTGGGCATCGGGAAGAAGGAACCACTTAAACATACGAATGCCCAATGAGAAAGACGTGTATGCGGAAAGCACATGGAATTTAGGTTGTCAATAAATAGGGGGAAGGAAAACAACACACAAGAACTGTTCTGGGTGGGATGAGCACATGTAATCTTCTCTAGCTTTAGCAGACGTCACTCAGAACCTCCCTGGATGAGGGCCACGAGTCAGCCATATAGAAGGCGGAACAACTGCTCCCCTTTCTCCAAGAGACAGGGGCTGTCCCTCTTGCTCAACAACAACAAAAAAGGGTACAGGCCTTAAAACGAACACCAGCACAATCACAAGACTTCTTTCAAGTATTATCAGACTGGTCATCAGTGGCTGCACTTCAAACTTGCAAATGGCCTCCTGAACCAAAGAAATTAAACGTCTGCTTCTGCCCCACCCCCCACCAATGGCTGATGTTTCTAGTATAAGGAAGCACAAATCTGGATACATTCCTGTGATGTCAGAAGGACTGACGGGTCCGTGGACGTGGGCAAGAGGGCGAGGGTGAAGGTGAAGGTGAAGTGAGCCATCGTGGAGTAATGCGATACCCACATGCACGAGGTGAAGTCCAGTTTCACATACATTCACAAAAAAACCCTCAGAGCAGCAAAAAAAAAAATAGTTTTATTCCCGTTCTTTTAAAGCAGCATGTTAAAAAGAAACAAAACCAAGAGAATGACAAAAATCCAGCCAGCTGTTAATGCAGAGGAGGACTGTACCACTTGATGCATAGGCAGTAATAGACAGTATTAAGTGACGGCAGTACATGCCAAGGGGCAGATCAGCCCAGAGGACGTCCTGCTTTTAGTGTGCAATATAAACTACAGATGCATAAATACACATTACTTTATATATACTTTAAAAACAAAAACAAATTAAATATTCCCTGTAAATTATTAGACAGTAAAGCAGCAGCGAATAAAGTCTTTGCTTTGAAATGCCCTCAGGGGGATTTGTGGGAGGGGGGTTTGGAGAAACCTTCCCACAGGTTTGGAGCCTGACACCCCCTCCCCCTTCCGTAACATCCTGAATGGGGACACTGGCCTGAAAGGTTAAAGTGCATTGCTTCAAACGAAAACCCATATTAAAAGGTTCATAAGGTTATGATTCAACTAATATATATATGACTTTCAAGTTCCAACATTACAGCTCCCTGTGTGGTCAGTTTTTGCTTTCATTAGGGGAAAAAAAGTTTCTTTGAATGAGAAAGGTGGAAATCCCACCAGGAGGTGCAAAAGGTGATCTCAAAACTTGCTCTGTGTTTCCAGCCCCATGCTCTGTGGGTTGGCTGGCCCATGGCATGGGGCAGAGCCTCCAGAAGGTAGGCGGGTCCTAAGAGCTGGCTGACTCTAGGACTGTGACAGTGAACAGAGCTTTGGCACCTCTATGGTTGGATTCTCACCCTCTCCTTTCCCCATAGTTCACATTCTTTCCTGGAATTTGGAAAACTCAGGACCAAATTTAAGATGCAAGGGAAAACATTTCATTTCTGTTTGCTTGGGAGACATCTGGCCAAGAGGAACTATTTTATAATGGGCAAGGGACTGCTCACAGTGCCTG